ATGGTAATAGAGTTTATTTTACGAATTTAACTATGAAAATACTACAATCTTCACAAATCCTCATACTGATAATAATCATGTGCTCACCAATGACCAGCTTCAAGATGGATTTTCCGGAGTTCTAGTGAGAAGCCGTGGCCAGTGGAGTCCAATCTGTGTCAGCTGGAGACAGTTATCCACTTCAGACAATGGATGAAGGGTTGCACAAGACCATGGATCGATTAAAGTTAGACAATCACAGCGTTAGATACCAGCTCAGTGTTTTGGAGATTACGCGTCCAAGTGCTAAACCGCAGGTACTGGGTCCGATTCCCTCTCGCGGAGTCGTGGGTGCGCAGTGCTGAGGAGTCCCATACTAGGACGGAACGGCCGTCCTGTGCCTCTAGGTTTTCAATGGTTGCCCAGCTTAAATTGACTTGCGAATTCAATGGCATGTATCAATTTTATCCCCGTTATAAAATGCTTCATATTTGTGACAATATGCTTATCCCCATCTCTGTTTCTATTGCTTCGAAGATTTCATTATTATAGAAATCACTTGTTTGAAATCTCTGAAACTCCTCAGAATTTAGGTTATTTGACTGTCATTTTTTTCATGATTTAGTGGAATCATATGCACAGAGGATCATTATCACTCTACTATAAACCTAGTGCCTCTAATTTGTCTTTGACTAACTAAACTGTACCTATTATTATTATTATTGTTCACCAAAAAAACTGAATATAATTTATGGACTGGTTATTTATTTATTAGTTCATTCATTCTTGTAAACGTGTTTTCATTTCTGTATGATAATATTTCACTTTCTTCTTCAGTTGTTCAAAACAATTTATTACTACAGAATCGAATTTCTTAGGTTACATCATGTACTTGTCGTATTTAGACAACCGTTGAAAACATGGAAGCCGTTTCATCCTGGTGTAAAACTGCTCTTTGATTGAACTTAGACATGTAAACTATTGAATGGTAACTCAGTGATCAAAAGGCCAAGTATCCTTCACGTGACTCGAAGGCCATACGTTCAGTTTCCAGTGAGTTTGTGGATCCGCAGTGTTAAGGAAAATTATACTGGAACAAAATAGCTATTCGGGACATGCTCTCTTTCTCATACTTATCTAACTATGGTCAATCTGTGATACAAACTGTGAGCTGGTTTGTTCTTTCTCCCTTTTTCTCTCTCTTTCTATTACTTTATCGGACTTTCTCTATTTTCAGTTAATTAATAATCTAATTAGTTGTATATGGTAGTGATGATAATTTATTGAATTCTTCTTTGTTGAAAAATGTGGTACTATGTACTCATAGTTCACATTTTTCTCTCTCAAAAACCGTACTTTATCCAAATTTATTCTTGTATAAGTATAAAAATATTGTATATAACTACTCTCAAACATTAGCACACATTAACTCACAAATACAGTCACATTGAAGATAAGTAAAATAATCATATTAGGCTGAATCTATAGAACTTTGGCACAATCAACTCTGTGACAATTCTATGCAAATTATAACCGATTCATGACCACTTCTTTTTTGTAGTTTCAGATGAGTATCGCTGAGTTTAATTAGGTAACTACTGAAAACCAAAGAGCACTATTTCATTCCACTTTGGAACTCATCAACAATGCCTATTCACAGTTTATAATGCGGATCGAATCCAGGAACTTCTAGCCTTGTGGAGAGAACTTAACATTCAGACCTCGGAGTAGACAATTAGCATTTCTAATTTCAATTAATACACCATATAGTGTGACAATCATACGATCTCACTGATGACAATTGCTTTGCTATTTACATATAAGAACCGGGTTTTTTTAAATTAAAAAATAGTTGTATAAATTATAGTGCTTAAGTGAAATTAATTTTTACAACTGGGAAATATAATAGATAACAATTTCGGTTTAGTTTAAGAGTTCGTTTGGTATACATCTACCACTGTGTATGCAGGATTAAAATAAAATTCTTCACATCCCAATATAAGTGTGCTATCTCTAAATAATTAAGTCAAAACCCAACAGTTTGTATAAGTGACTTCAATTCATCCGTAATTATAGCATGATGATGAGTTTAGTACATTTAATGTTTCACTTATTAACTACCTAGCCTCTTTCTAGATTATCACACACAAATGCTCTGATTCTTGAATCAAGAAGAAAGAAAACGTTACGCTATCGATTTCTAATTTTGATTATCGGATTGTTTTAATCTCACGCTTATGTTATTTCTGATTGTTATCGATTACTTTCGTTATTAAATGTAATTGCATTTTATGTGCTTATTGAGTTATCAGCTCAGACGAAAACCTACCAAAAGATGGATGTTACACACAAAATAAAACAAAAGCACAGTGGTATTTATAAAATAACAGGTGACCTATGGATTTTAAAATTTAGGGAGAAAATATCCGAAAATCAATAGTAACTTATGGGAATTATTCAATCTGATTTACGAAAAACATGATAATGTATTTTCTAGTATTTCTTTAAAAAAATATTATGAGAAGGGGTTTTGTGGAGATTTTTTGAAATTTCACTGGTTGAAATCATGAGTCAATTGAAGCTAGACCACCATGGAAAACCGGGAAGAACTGGACTGCTGTTTCGTCCCAATGTGAGACTCCGCAGCAGTGCGCATCCACGGTCCCACCCCCGTGAAATTCGAACCCAGGACCTAACAGTCTCGAGCGCGAGCGCTCAACCATTAGACCACTAAGCCGGCATCCAACGATGTTAATGTCTAAATTCAGCTAACCGACGAAATTGCACCACCGTACACTATTGTCTTCAGTGAGTTGATATCACAACAGACCTGGTTGAGCGAAACGGCTGTCCAGTGCTTCCAGGTTTTCCATCGTGGTCTAGCTTCAATTGACTCATGATTTCAACTATTGAGAAAAAAAATTGACTGGATAATGTATTTTTCTAGCTACTAGGAATAATTGATAGTTAGAAAATATTCCCATCGTCCAGTTTCACTGATAGGGTAGATATTTGCATCACTTTCAATTTAATTAAACTTCATCGATCATAACTTCCTATTAAAATTTTGCCAGTTGATTTTAAAGTTAATCATTAGTGAGTAAAAAACTTTTTCTGTTAATTTGTCAAACTATCAAAATTCATTATTCATGGTTTTAACCATGAAAAATCAGGGAGAACATTAATATTTGTACTATAAAAGCAAAAAAATGATGACAAAAGAAAATTTTAGTCACCTTCAAAAGAAAAAAACAGGTCAACTACTTATTGACTAGATACGCTCATTCATATACAGATTTTATTTTTCTGAGTCAGCTCAGAGAACAAAACTCTACCAAAATCATCCACTTGAGCTACAAATCTTCACCATCTCACGTAAATGAATATCATACATAGATTGAAATATTGGGAATAAAAATATCGGTTGTACACTAGAATGTTAAAATGACTGGATATCACACAAATATCGTATTGGATTACCAGTGAAATAAATAATGTGCTAAATTAATATTACACATTAATCAAACAATAATTTCGCATTTTATTCTCATACTAATATATATGAAGTGAGAGATAACTGCTTGTGGTAATATTGATTGTATCATCATGAAGTATAACACTTTGACTGTGGATAATTTGCCGATTCATTTAGGATATAGCTTAAAGATAGTTTTCAACAAGAGCTAATCTCAGTTGACGGGGGTGTATTTGCAGTTCGTGAAAACTGACAGGGTGTTAGATGTATGTTTCATCATAATCGTATTTTCAATACCTAAAGAATTTACATTGATGACCTTACACGAGGTCGTAATAGTTCATCACAAATTCACATCAATTGGAAATCGTTATGGGTTTACCATTATAAAGCTATGGGATGTGATTTGACAGAGTTGGAGCGAGCAGTCTTGACCTTTGGCTATTGATCAAGTTGCATCAGTGAATTGTGAAAGCATACGGGTAAAACTGAGTGAGATTTAAGATAGATCACAAATGACCTAAATATGATAAGTTAGAATCACTTTCAATTAGTTAACCAGTTCACAGGGGTACTATGCCTTCTAACGTATTTTAACAGTTGAATTTACGAGTCGATTTAAGCCAGACCACCATTGAAAACCTGAAAGATCTGAACGGATGTTTCCTCCTAGTATGGGACTACTCAGCACGATCCCACACGCGAGATTCGAATCCCGCGCCTACGGTCTCTCGCGCGAACACTTAACCTCTAGACCACTGAACTGGCATCCAACGGCTCAAATGTTTAACTCCAATCGGTCCACGATCTTGAGATACCCTTTAAAATTTTGAATTTTATCTATGCTAAATGTGTTACTACTCGTGAGTAGCATGTTCTAATTATGCATAAAAAGTATGCATTAAAATCTAAAGCTATGAGATTGCTGATAGTAAATAAAACGTGAAGATCTGTTCACAATTATTAGAAATATTTAACTTCTGTATACCTGCATGTTACGGCTGAAGATATTATTTAGTTTGCTCAATTGAATTATGTTAAACGGCTTAAAAAAAGTGACCACATGACTCTAGGTGAAGTACGTAGTCTGTCGATAATCATACTTTTAGATTGTATAACTGAAAACTGAACCACAACTTATTAGTTAAGATCAAAGTTGATAAATGAAAGTGATATATAAAACTGATTTGATTTTTTGAAATGAATCAGTTTAATTACTTTACTGATGAGTGAAGTGGATATCACGAATCTGTCTTTTCGAGTCGTTATCAATATGAACGATATGTAGTCAATAGTGGTGATTGATCAATCGTGTGATGTAGCCAGTGGGATAGACATTAGCATTTAGTAGTGTTAAACATAAATAATCACAAAATCTTGGTGAAGAAATGTTTATCAATATAATTATAGTTTTGAAAATGGTAATAATATTTCATACATTGTACTTTATTTATTAATTTATAGAAATTTAGAAGACTCATACACAGTAATTAACATCATCATAATCATTATTATCAATATTGTTAAGTATAAATGTTGTATTTTCCTAGTGGAAGCATACTCTGCCCAATTCCAAACCAAGAATTTGTTGTGAATCAATAGCATTTGGTAAAATTATATCACGTAATGGTAAACGATGCGGTCGTGTATTCACTTCAATTGTTATCTTTCCAAATGTAGATTTTGTTGACTTTTGAATTAGTAATTGTTTTTTTTTTCAAAAAGAAAGGAAAAATAACTATGGTAACAAACGGAATATTATAATAATGTATTTATGGAAAGAATAGGTTAGATTAATTATATTTTAATTCAATGAACAATTACAAACATTGTGATGACTTGACAGTCGTTGAATTACACGATTACAGATATATTTGTACTACAGTTTTAATTGGTAACCAGGTTTAAATGACTAAACGTTTTTATAACACAAATATAGAGTTCGGTGTCATTTAGAATAAACATTTAGTCCATGTCAAACATGACGTATAAAGTGTATGTTTGTCTTCATTAGTAGCTAATCACAGTTTAAATTCTTCTGGATACATTAGTGAATGACTTTTACATCTTACTGTGTATAAATGCTGTTTAGTATACTCTCGGGATTGAATCTAAGACCCTCGGTACACGAAATGGCTGACTAATCTTAAAAGTGATGAATTGGAATCATATTTAAATTATATTTTTTCATGAATATTATTGTTGTGAAACTGCTGATTGATGATTTTTAAAATAATGAAAGTCTAGATGACCATGTAATGATGAATAAAAGCTTAATTAAATAAAATGATCTTCAAGATTAACTTAAGTTAAAGAATGTAAATCATTTGACTTTGTACAATTTAGTGGCCCTGTAATGGTATGCTTGGCATTGAACATACAAATTCCGTAAGTTCAGTTTTATATGATATTATATTTGTCCCAAAATTGAGTGGAGTAAGGCAGTTCGTGAGGAAAATTACCTGTGTACATCAAGGATTAACTTTGGTCATTAATAACTAGAAAGGATTAAACAGCTTTTTCGTCCTAGTACTGAGTTCCTCAGCAGTGCTTATCTAAAATCACACCAAGGATAAAGTCCAGAGCCTTCATATGTTATGGAGAAGGCTGAGCCAATAGAACTACCAAGATACCATCTAGTGGTTTTAACTTATAACTCTAGTCGGTTTTTGATATTGTATGTCATCATTTACTGCCATTGATGATATCCATCTCACTTTTAACATCATCGAATTACACTGGCCATAACTACTGTCTCATAATATGATAAAACAACTGTCCCTTACATACTTACGGCTGTTACTCCTCGTGAAGGAGCATAAGCCGCCCACTAGCACTCACCATCCAACCCTGACCTGAGCAATCCTTTCCAGTTGGTATTCATCTTTTTCATAACTCATTCTATTTCCCGACGTAATGTGTTCTTTGGCCTTCCTCTTTTCCGCTTCCCTCCAGAATTCCAAGTTAGTGCTTGCCTCGTGATGCAGTTTGGTGATTTCCGTAATGTATGTCCTATCCATTTCCATTGTCTTTTCCTAATTTCCTCTTCATCTGGAAGCTGGTTTGTTCTCTCCCAAAGAAGACTGTTGCTGATGATATCCAGCCAATGGATGTTGAGTATCTTACGTAGACAACCATTTATAAATACTTGTACCTTCTTGATGGTTGTTGTTGTAGTTCTCCAAATTTAAGCTCCATACCGTAGAACTGACTGTCTTGACGTTCATATTGAAGATTGTGACTTTTATATTGGTTGACAGTTGTTTTTAGTTCCATATGTTGTTGACTTGTAGGAATGCGACCCTTGCTTTACCAATCCTCGCCTTTACGTCTGCATCTGAACCGCCTTGTTTGTCGATGATGCTTCCCAGGTATGTGATGGATTCTACAACTGTCCCAGTTCTTGTTAATTCCTAATTATTCCTTGACCAAATTTTATCCATAGTGTACACTATCTTCAAATAAATCAACAATGTCCACAAATAATAGTATGAATAATAATTACCTGACAACCGTTTTCCAGTAAATTATAACGAAGAATCGCTCCATTTTGTGTTAATTCCTTATTATTGTTTGTAAATAAACGTGGCAGATTTTCATCACTGAAAATAATCTTATTGCATACCAATGTTAATTGTTGATTAGCTTTCGATGATAACAGTTGTAAAAAGTTGATTTGATTCATTTCCATATTATAGGTAAACTAAAATATACGAAATAAAGGTGATTAACAAAAAAGAACAACTTGTTGTAGTTCATTATGAATTGATACAGTGATGCTTAAATTAATATTTTAAGTAAATTAATGAAATGTATTTTGTATTGCTTGTTTGAATCTTCTCGTTGATGTTTAAGACTGCGATTGATTAGTCTGTTATTGGTATATGTGCATCCTGTGTGGACTGTCTTGATATTGACATAAGTCTTAAGCACTATAGGCTGAGATGATGATGGCTAGCAGAGGAATCCAGGACGAACGTTTCGTCTTATTTGGGACTCGTCAGCTGGATGTACCTACATTCCAGAGTTGGTGGACGGTACTGGAGTCGAGTCGAGGAGTGGACGTCAACTCTGCGATACAGATAAATCCAGCTGACAGGCCCCAAGTAGGACGAGACGAGCATCCTGGACTCCACTTCTAGCCACCATCCATCTTTGCTCATGATCAATAAAAGCTTTTTATGTATAAAAACGGGTAAAAGGAGCTTATCGGATAAGACTTTGTCATTTATATAATCTGCCCAATTCATATCAATTTTTCCCACTTTATAACAGACGCATTGCAAAATCTGGGTTGATAGCTGCTAGTCATATTTGGAATAATTTGAAAAGCTTACTTCAATCTGAAGTTTGAACGGATGATGCCTTCTAGAAAGTCGATGAAAACTTTACGGTTAGATCACCCAGCTCAGAGAAGGAAAATAAACCAAAAGCACTTCATCTAATAAACTCCAGTGTATGGATTTTGATATTCTACTGATCTATGACAAGGAGGAAGTTGGTGGTTAGTTTATGTTGGCAGATATAGACTTTACGAAATTTATCTATTTCATCTCAGATGAGAAATGTATGTTGAAATATTTTGGTAAAAATATGTGAATTATTAAGAAAAGCCAATAAACAGACAATCCAATTTAGTCGAAGTTAAATGACATTACCAGTATATAACATAGCTTGGTGGAAGGTTATTTACACTAAAAACCATATTTCAGAAATCGGGAGAAATTTTCTGCTTAAATAAGGATCAGATAGCAGGAAGTTTTTTATTATTGATAATATTTATTTAATCCTCAGTGTTGATGGAATTCTATTAACCTAGTTGATATTGGAACACTAATGCATGTGATTTGATATCGCGCAACCACTGTGTTTTGATATCAGATGGTCAAAGATAATCGTTACAAAGCTCTGTTTGATCTAGGTTTTTGGTTTTAATTTCATTGATAGAATTCGACTACTTCGAAAGACTAGAGGAACATAACATTGATTACTACTCAGTAATTAATAAATATAGAAGGATAAAAACTGGTTTTTAACTGCGATTAATTAATAGTTGTACATCAGATACAACAACCTTTTGTACACAGTTCAAACCAAATTAAAGTCATGATGGTTCCCAATAGTTTCTTAACTGATGTAAATCATTTTCTAGTCAGACTAGTATTCGTAGGTCATTTGCTCAGGGACGTCTAGCTTCAAGATGAATCTTTTAAGTTGCAAATGAGAAGTTACAAATACTGAGTTCAGTCATTAAGAGAATAAAGCATTTACTAATGATAATAACATTGAAAACTATAACAGTAATCTAAAGGCAACGGACTTACTACGATACCTAAAAATCCTGGGTCCGATACTCACCGGCATCGTGGATGCAACCTGATAAGGAGTTCCAGGTTAAGTTAAAACTGATATGTGATTGGTCTTCAATTACTCGTTACTCATGGAGGTGATGCTATTCCACTATGAATTAATCTTTCATTCATATACCATCTAGTTAAACTCATAGTCAAACGATTGGTGAAGTGATATTACCGATCAACTATAAAACCTATATCCCAATTTCAAACCAATATGGAGATAAATGAATGAAACTGAAAAGGAGGTTTGTTTGATGACTGTTTCATGTCTTTGTAGTTTAGATCATAAACTAACCTTAGATAGACAATCATTTGAAAACAGAAAGCATTAGAGAGATGCTTCATCCTGGTAGGGGATAAAAGCTAAAACTTTCAGAGCCTAACATTTCGATAATTGAACTGACATCTGATGGTTTACATTTACAACTTCAATCAGATCATGATGCAACTCAAGGACTATTTGATGTCATTTCTGGACAGCTACCTCACAATAGAAACGTTTAAAGTCCCCTAGTTAAAGCTTCACGCCAGGGCTCTGAGAACTAACTTTCAGAATTAAGCACTGTTGAGCACATATTTTTATTAGTCACCATCTAAAAACATTATTGTCTTTCTTACCTGTTTTTCGTCATATAACTGACTAAACCAAATATCTTGTTGATCAGAATATTTCTTTTTGTGTGTATCGGTATTATTGTTTTGTTGTTGTTGATAGGAAGAAGTTAAAGGCGAGAAACACGTTTCACCCGAGCTCAATCGACAGAATACCTTAACAGCATCTTTATTTGAGCCTCCATTAGGATCAATCCAATATTCACCTTGGAATGAAGAAGAAAAGGGATAGAAGAAAACAAAACAATGCAAAGTGGGCGAAGAGAATATTTAGCGTAGAGAAACCTCAACAGACTTTGGTTGCTATGCTGTGAACGGCCACTAAGGTGGAGACAACCAGTTTATGTTTTAGTACGAAATTACAGAATGTTTTCGTAAAATATGAAAACCATACATTAAATACTCTATTTCCATCAGTCGTCTCTGACAAACGTCATCGTTCTTTCATTCCTATTGTTATTACAATTAATCCTTGTTTGCATTCCTGTTCTCTTCAATTTGATCTTCTCAACCTTCTACTACCAGCCATTTCACTTCTGGCTGTTGTTACATTTTACTTATATCTGTCGACATAAGTGGCATACACCACAGTTGCCTTGAGAGAGAAGAGTGGAAAGTAAGTTATTGGATTCAGAGAATAATTTTGTTTACTTTTCACCTGTATTCATTTAATATTTTATTTGTGCTCTTTTTGGTGAAATTTTAAACTATTCCCTTATTGATATTCAGGACTAGGATAACTCAAACCTTTACTAATAATGATAAAAATATCATAACCATTGAATAACTTAATGTGAATTCAGTAAGTTAGTGGATAGTGCGTCGGAATTGAAGGTAATTAGCACTAGGTTTGAGTCTGTGCATGAACATCAACACTGGAATGAACGTACATCCACCTGAGGAGTTCCAAATAGGATAAAAATGCATCCATAACCAATCTATTCTAAAAACTTGACAAAGTTACTATATCAAGGTAATCCTTTTAGGGTGAAAATATTTAACGACAAAGAGTAATCACAATTCAGTCCTTAATATCAGTAACACGGTTTGTTTCGATTTAGTTATAACAAAAATTGGAAACATCTTTAAATATTTCATGTTCAATCTGCCTTGATATAATTTATGATTTATGATATAAATGTGAACCCTTATTGATGAAAGAATAGAGACATTTTTTGATTTAATTAATAACTAGAATGTTGGTCTAAGATGAGTGTTGAAATATGGATTATTTCTCAAAATTGCTCAATTTTTCAAGTTCGAACCTTGCGCGTAACATTTATTCTGGAGCTGTATGATTCACATCCTTAATAACTGATTCTCAATGATAAACTGAAAGATTCAACAAATATTCAGGGTTTTTCCTCACGTAATATTCAACTGGAGTAAACAATGAACCATTTTCTTTCTTTAGTCTTGGCAGTAGTTGGGAGCGGGTTCACGTATCATTAAGGGTATAGTAAAATTATGGTTGAAGCGTATTTGTATTGGGGTCGTTTATGGGGTTAATTCTAACATTCACTATTGTGTTCATATTTAGATTTGAATAGTTATAGACAGCTTATAACAAGGAGTTTGGACACCAGTTATCTATTAAAAGATATAATTTGAATCAACATTTCATTCACATCCTGTTCAGTGAAACTGTGACATACAAAGGATTATACACTACTCTGATTTAAAGGCATTGTATTCTCTGAGTGCCGACAATTTAATTTCAAAGCTTTTATTCCCGTTCCGGAAAACAATAGTCTGATAACTATCATTTAGAGATTATAGCAGAGTACTGAGTAACGAACTCTGCAGTTAGTATCTGTTCTTCATGATCAATCGGTGGACCAGTTCTTAAAGTTAGGTAATTTAATAAATAGAATTTGCTTACCATCTGGTAATCTTGGATGTGTACGCGATAAGTAATTACATGATCTTGCTGGAAAACTGCGTGTACCATTGGGCATTTCTAAAGTGATGCCTTTTTGATCTCCATACATCTTTCCATAACTCATAGCTGGAGGCCCAGGAGGTCCAGGTGGTCCTTCACTTCCCATATGTCCGGGAGGTCCCCTTGGTCCATCTCTTCCAATAGGTCCAGGTCCACCAGGAGGACCTGGTTCGCCAACGAATCCAGCCTCACCTTGAGGTCCTGGGGCACCGACAGGTCCGACTTCTCCCGGTAAGCCAGAAAGTCCACGATATCCTCGAAGTCCTGGTTGACCAGGTTGTCCAGCTATGCCAGGAAGACCAGGGTCACCTGGAGGGCCTGTCCAACCTTTGTGGCCCTGTGGTCCAGACTTCCCTTGCCTTCCTGGGGATCCATCTTTTCCAGGTCGTCCAGGAAGTCCAGGTTGTCCATCTTCGCCTTTTCCCCCTGGCGCACCATCTACACCAGGATCACCTACTTCACCTCTGGGTCCACTTGGTCCGTCTGGTCCTGGTATTCCTAAAGGACCACTAGGCCCCGGTGGGCCTGGTTCTCCTCCAGGACCTGGTGGGCCCTGAAGTCCGCGTTCTCCAGGAAGACCTTGTTGTCCTGGGGACCCAGCTTCTCCCACTGGCCCTACACCACCTACTTCTCCATCTGTCCCTGGTGGCCCAGGTGGTCCAACAGGACCAGACGGTCCTTCTGGTCCTTCTTTTCCTGCAGGTCCTATCTTCCCCTGTGGTCCTGGGACTCCCATAACCCCAGCTGATCCTCTTGCCCCTGGTCTTCCAGGAGCACCCATTTTCCCCTAAAAGAGGATAAGAAGGAACAGTAGCCAAAGATGAAGAATATAACGAATTCATTTTAATTAAACTCAATTGTATATACTAATGATAATTATTATTTGCGTTCTGCTAAGTTTCCTGATTTTTGTTAGAAACGTAATGTAGACGTTTCGAGAACGTCAGATTTTCAAGGTTTTAATTATTCATCTGTTGTATTATGTTAAAATAAAAACAAATCTTAGCGTTCTAGACAGGACTATCAAAAATTGCATCGCCCTTGAGCAATGTTTTGACCTTAAACGATCAATCGGAACAGAGCTGTTTGCGTGTATATTCATTTGAAAATGTATATGAGACATAATGGTTTATACAAAAGTTTACATGGTTTAAAAATGTAACTAGTTCTTCCAAAGGTTCAGTCATTCAGAGCTTATATAGATATATAATCCTTTATTCTTCCCTGGTACACTTTCAGGATGTGTTTGGTAATGACTTAGAAATTTGGGCCAATGAAGTGACTACGATGCATTATCATATATTATTTATGAATAGTCTATGAATTCAGTTTAATCTATTACTGGTCTTCCGATGTATTAGATTATAATCCAGTGAAATAGTATTGTCATGGTTCGCTTAAATGTCAGTTTAGTTATGATGAAAGAAAAAGAAACACTTGTTTGTTATTGATATCCGACTATGAGAGTAGTCACACAGAAGTGACATTAGTTTCTGTCTTTTATTAAAAACGGCACTATAACGTCATCAATCTGCTGAACACAAATGAAGCTTCTAAAGGCCTCTTCTTAGATTATCAATGTTATTTCCTTAATCAAGATAATTTATAATATTGTCGTTCAGTAAAATCATTTACATTATTATAAGAATAATCAATGGGCATTTGCATAATTGCCGATGAATTGTGTTCTTCAATATTTTTACCATAATTCACCCTAACAAAGTTATAAACCAAAGAGACGAATTAACAAGTTTACACAAATTATTACCTGAAGTCCAGGAAGTCCGTCTTTTCCTTGAGTTCCTCTTGGACCAGCTTGACCTCTCGGACCAGTTGGCCCTTCATCACCGGGTGGACCTTTAGCGCCATCAACTCCTGGAGGCCCAGCAGCACCACGTGCTCCTTGTGCACCTGGATTGCCAGGAGCCCCTTGGGCACCAGCAGTTCCGTTAATACCATCTATTCCAGGTAGACCGGGTTCACCAGAAGGGCCAGGAATTCCCGATGGTCCTGGTGGACCAGCATATCCAGCATCTCCAGGTTTTCCAGGTGGTCCTTGAGCTCCAACAGCTCCAGACTGACCAGGTTTACCTGATTTTCCTGGTCGGCCAGGTGCTCCATCAATTCCATCTTTTCCACGTGGACCATCAGGACCGGGTGGACCGTCTTCACCTGGTACTCCTGCTTCTCCAATAGGTCCCGGATCACCAGGAGCTCCTGATATTTTGTAAAAGAAATTCGAAATGGTGTATAAGTGTCAAGAAGAAATAGTCAATTTAAAGTATTCAGTATATGTTCAAGCAAAACTTAACTGTAATAGTATCATAAGTTTGAAATATGTTTTTTTCTTAGTTTTTAATGACTAATTTAGCTGATGGCAAGAAGCTCCGAATACACACTTACATTAATATTTCGTAAAAGATTGAGGATCAGTATGTAACTGTAACACTTCAAACGATTTATCACCCCTTTATCCAGCATTTTCAATGGCTGATCGTGGGTATATTATGAAGATGCCAATCAGGAAGTCCGTAACTACCACTCTGGTTCAGATCATCAATTAGTGACTATATGAACAAATACTATATCTCGACCTGTCAATTTTCGACTATTTTCAACCTACTCTTCGTTACCCAACACTTAATGGACTGCTTTCTCTGAATTTCAATATTTATGTTATTAATATCTACTGTTTATCTTGGTGTTATATAAAGTCTATACAAAAGCAGTCTAAAATAAATTTGCAATGAACTACTAATTTTGTAATTCACACAGTAGATTGATCTTCGTCAGATAAACATTAAAATCGATAATCATTTGATAGCTGTTAACCCTAGTATCGGACTCCTTAGTGTTGCCTGTTCCCGATCACACAAAAAAACACATCCAAGACTTCCAGGTCTTGTACTTAATCTCTAAACCATTAAGTTGGCGTCCGACGGTTGACATTCTGTACTCCGACTGATTTACGAAGTAGTGCAACCATTTCTTTGTACCATCAGTGATTAACCGCCTCGTACCAGACGTGATTGAAGTTCACTCACCATGGCCTGTCACTCGAATTACAAGAGTTACCTCTTTTAATTGTCTAGTAAGTTCCCCTTTGAATTCATAACCATTTGAGTTCGGATGATTTGTTATTAATCTCCTTGGAACTTTGAAACAATGTATTTTTCCATTTGTTACTATCAATGATGCGTTTTGTCGTCAAGTAATTAAAACAACTGTTTTATGTATCAGTTAAGCCAATTTATTAATGACTAAACAGTTGACCTAATAGGAAAAACTGCAAAGAGGTGAATTTAAAAAGGAACCGATGATGTCAAATAACCAATAATAATAATAATAATAATAATAATAATAATAATAATAATAATAATAATAATAATAATGATTTAGTGTTCTATGATGATAATAATTGTCATGATTGTTATTATTATAGTTATAATAAAACACCTAGATTTATATTTCAACATTGAAAAAGTAGCTACCGATTAATTTTATTAGTCTTTACCTGGTATTCCTGGTCTTCCACGTGGTCCAGGATATCCTGGTAAACCCTTTGCTCCTTGTGGACCGACAACTTTACCATTATCATAACCTTGAACTTGAATTGGTCCTCTTGGACCTGGTTCACCTGGTGGTCCTGGTTCACCAGGTGCACTGTCTTTTCCAGGTGGTCCATCTTCCCCAGGTGGACCACGTGGACCTTTTGTTCCTCTTAAACCCATTTGACCCGAACCACCTCGAACTCCTGGTGGACCCTATTTTGTGCGGAAGGAATGTGTGTGTGAGAGACAGTGAAAACGGAAAAGTAAGAGTAAGTTTACACGATCTTTTCAATAAACATAAGAATAACTAATCACTTTCAGATCTTTGTAGGAACATGAGAAAATACTCAGGTAATTGATGAAATATTGAGGACTGACTATAGAGATAACTCATTGAAGAAAACGTTTCAGGGAAGACCAGTAGGATGATGTATCAAGACTGTGACTGAATAAGAGTTTCTGACAGGTCATTCTATAATTCTCTTCTATAACAGTGATTATGTCGGCCCCGAAAATTTGAAATGATCTGCCAGGAATATGTGAAGACAAACTATTATGAAGTGGCAAAGCAGCTGAAGAGCCTGAAATTTTGAAAGTTTCTTGGAATGTTTTAAACAATGTAATTGGAAAAAGAACAAGTAAATTGTCACAAACAAGGGAGATTTTGAAGAGATAAAAAATCTGTTTTAACAAGACATCCCTTTGAAGACGATTTATTTACGGATCTTATTTATTTAGAAATAAGACTGTAGAATAAATTAATGACAGTATAACTAACAATTCAATGAATCTTATTATCGATTTTTTGAATACTGGTTTACAACGTCAGCTAAATTGAAAAAAGAAGCAAATCCTTTTTCCGATGGTTGAGTGAATAAATCAAAGACGAATGAACTAAGGCAATAATTCAAAAAATATAAAGGGAGTAACAAACTATTGTTGGGAAAATTACTTTTGGTTAAGGGCTTAAATGAAAGTCGAACTATGTATCTGTGTCGTTGTAGTGTGGTGTGTGCTACTTATATTGACATAAGTAGTATATGATGTTAGTCGTGAACAGAAGGTCTGGCAGCAGAGAGACAAGAGGATCGAACAGTAAAGAATGGAAACAGGATGCAATTTGTATGAAAGTGCAAGGACAATGAATTCCGAGTCATTTTGAGACAATTGGTGGACATTTTGCAAATTAAGCATTAACTTTATGATTGTTAGATTTTATTCACAATTCTTGTATGCTTGTGTTAAGTAGATTCGGTTATCTCTACTGGTGTTGTTGTTCGCTACCATAGTAGTGGTGAGGTCTGATTTAGCAGACAGAAACAAAACTACGAAACTAAAATAAAGTAGTAAACGATACGAATCAATTTATTTTGAAAAGAAGGTAGTAATTTATTCATCGTGACCACAAACAGTACCTGCTGAACACAAGTGGAACCAGATGGACAAGGTTATACTATTTGTAGGATGATGATTGTCAGGCTCATATCTTTTATTAAAACTTATTTACTAGGTATAAGTTCGCATTCTTGATTAAAAATCACATTCCAAATGTGTAAGCATTAATATCATCCAGTTTTCCAGACCAAAATATGTGAGGAGCGGAGGGTTATGAAACCCCATAGTAAAAGTCGAGATTTTCCGGAAGCCATCAGGCCAATGGGCTTTCTTAAAAAATCAGGCAATCATTTATTTAAGTGCTCGGAATGTCCAAACAATGTAGGAGAGCTGGAAGACCATTCAAATAGAAAGTGGAAATGAGGAGTTACAACCTGACGGTGCATCGAATCTCACTGGACGCAACCTGAGCAGGAAAGATTAACTTGAAGATAGATATTACTGTATTCTGGCCACAAAGGAGGAAACGCAAGAGCTAGCATGATACGTTTAGACGTGATCTATTATGTCACATTTTCAGCCAGTCGGCAATAAATTGTACAGTCAATGTTCAATCTTACTGGTGGGTGACTATAGCATGGTAAATAATTTTGACTTCATTGGTCATAGGTTATAAGAAGAACTTTGAGAATTCATTTTAATTACTAATGGAGACTAGCTTTAAAGTTCATAAAAATATCTTGATATAATATAATTCAGTCAATCTGATATCACGTTCTATCAAACACTTTACCTAGAAGAAAAACAAATAAGACGATAATGGACAGAAGTAATAATGTATTTAATAGTAAGCCGAGACCATTAATCTAATTACCTAGAAGATGAGGAGAGATATCTTATATGGGCTATGACGTGAAATGGCTTGAATGTTCAACAGAGAAACTTTGGTTAGTAGTGTCTTCCAATATTATTATCGTGAAGTAACTACAAAGTTATTCATTTTGGAAAATTATTTGTCACTACACACATTTTATGTACTAAACAGCCAACAAACACGGAATATAGTGGAAAAACTTAATTTGTAGCAGTTTGTAAGTACTCCAATTCGCCATTTGATCAACTGATTACGGAAAGTTAGTTAAAGTAAAATAATACACCTTGATAATCATTTATTTTGCTATGTAACAATTACAGTAAGGAATACATATTATTTGGAGTTATGATATACAAAAACTAATTCACTGAAACTGCCAATCAACCAATAATTCATGTTACGACATTTAAGGACTTACAGCTGGTCCAGTACGTCCAGGTATGCCTTGTGAACCAACTTCACCTTTGGGACCTTGTACACCGGGATAACCTTGTTCACCATCTTCACCAGCAGCACCACGTTCACCAGTTGGGCCTGGCAGACCAACTTGCCCTTGAGTTCCTGGCTTTCCATCTGTGCCTTGTTTTCCATCTCTTCCAGTTGGACCTTTACCACCTGGTTGGCCTGGTTGTCCAATAGGACCAGGTTGACCTGGTGGTCCAATCGGACCAGGTGGACCTCTATCTCCGATACCGCCAATACTTCCAGGACTACCAGCAACTCCAACTTTCCCACGACGCCCACGAGCACCAGTTGCACCACGACTACCTTGTGGACCTGAAGGACCTGGATCACCTGGTTCACCAGATGAGCCTCGACCACCACGTACACCCTTTTTAAAAAGGGAAAATAGGATAAATTTACATGATTTTTTGGATCGAAATAGCTGATAAGCACAACCAGATTATTTCTCTCTCAATAGACCATGCCTTTACACGAAAACTTACAAAATATACGGTACAGACGAAATGTTCTTTCTCATTTTTCTAACTGTTTTTCTTCCTTGACTCTAGTTCAGTGTTTTACGATTCGATTTATTCGATTATAAATTTATTCATGTTCATCCAAATCATCCATCGTCATTATTATTTATCACTAAGAATTAACTAATTTAGAAAAGAATGTATTATGTTGAATATCAACTCAACAGTTAAGTGTTTCAATGCAGTGTGGATTTTGACTAGCAAGGGAATTCAGAACACACATTCCCCCTTATCTGGAAATCATCAGCCAGATGTATCTGAGCCCCAATGTTACCGTTCACACTAAAACCTGGACTCACTAACTTGCATCTCAAACAGTAATGCGTTATTTCCTTAGCTACCGAACCCAGATAGACACTAATTTGCTAAACCAGTATGGTGTACATATTATTATTATTATCATTATTATTATTATTATTATTATTATTATTATTATTATTATTATTAGAAAGGGTATTAATCATCCTCTTATTGATGCTAATGACCGAAGTTTTGCTAAATAAGACTGTTCAAAGTTCAGTTCTGTATATCGACAATCAAATAGCCCAAACCCTTCCAAATAATAATGTTTTTATGGTACTGTATGAAGGTAAAGAAACAGAGAGGGCGGCTTAAAGATGCATTCCAAGTGAAGATCGGTGCCAGATAAAACTGCTTACTCTCGTCTTTCATCTTTTTTCTAGTTGTTGACTCTATTGCGAAGACCACATCTCAGGGGGTGTAAAGAATACAGTGAGCAGATCGGAAGTAACTATACTATTCGGATTTTGCAGATAACGTTGCTCTTCTATCCCATACACACCAACAAATGCAAGTGAATACAGCTAGCGTAACAGCAACCTCTGAAACCGTAGGCCTCAACGTTCACTAGGAGAAAATACAACACAGAGAGCACCAACCAAATCAAACTTGATGGAGAACCTCTTGTAGACGTGGGATGTGATGAATAATTTCAAATTAGTGCGGATCAATCGTCTAATACTTTTTAATTTCAAAAAGCTCTCTTATTCATATCATTGTATGATAAAAAAAAAAATCTACAAATCTATTAAAACATATTGATAGAGTCGCTTTGATGAATATAGTAGTGATTCTCACTGGATAATCTAGTGACCAATCGATGCAGATATTTAAGTTATACAGGAGGTCATCCACACTCCAGCAGCTCATTAGTAAAACTTCAGACTATTAAATTGAGTAACGAGGGTTCAAACTTTACAGGGACCATCAGCTCTCACAAGATTGAAGGTAGTCTTTACCGACAAGAACCGTTTAACATAAAAAGCGAATAGAATAAGGTTTCTAGACTAGATCCCTCAACCATCTAACATCGAAGTAATTGTATGACGTCATTCTGTTTTATGGCAGTATAAAAATATATGAAATTTTCGATACTGGGTCGTAAATTTTGCACATACCGATAATTTTTTTCTCAGTAGTTAATATCATCTGTCAAACTTTATGAATCATAACTAGCTATGGAACTAAGAAGTATTTCATATTGACTAGTTAAAATCAAATAATAGAACATTTAAACTTTTGCGAGTCAAATTATTGAAATAATCAGTAATGAGTTCAAATGTAAATGTTGCTCATTATTTTCATTTATCTAATTTTGTAAAACGTTTCATAAATGCCTTCTCTACATGATGTCTTAATATTACACCAGGTAACTGCATTGTTAATTAACTTCAAGGAATGTAAACGTATGAACGACATTTTGAAAGTTGAATCAAACTCTCTATCGTACTGTATTTTAACTGTTGGTTTCTAAGCAGCTAGGCCCTGTCATACAAGTCTATCAATGATAGAGTGAGCATACACCAAAGTGAGTTATATTCTATAATGTAATGTGTGAAAAGTATTTCTTACCGGTGGTCCAGATGGGCCAGGTGGTCCTGCAGGTCCTGGTGGTCCTGCCGGACCCATTTCACCATCGTCCCCATCCTTTCCTGAAGGGCCTCTTGGTCCTATCACTCCACGTACACCTTGAGAGCCGTCTTGACCCTTTGAACCTGGAAAACCCCTCGGACCAGGTTCACCATCTCGACCGGATGGCCCAGGTAATCCCGGTGGACCGGGCATACCTTGTCTTCCCATTTCTCCATCACTACCAGCTTCTCCGGGTATTCCAGGTAGTCCATCTAATCCAGGATTTCCAGGCATCCCTTGAGCACCAATCACCCCTGTGTCTCCTTTCGGCCCAGTTTCACCTGGTGGACCTCGTGGACCAGGCTTTCCTATATCTCCCATTGGACCAAATAGCCCTCTATCACCAGGCTCTCCAGGTGGTCCCATTGGTCCAGCTGGACCTGTAGGTCCTTGTGGTCCTGGAGCTCCTTCAGCTCCTTTCTCTCCGGGTGTCCCCTGTGAACCTGGTCCTCCAGACAATCCTCTTGGGCCGGGAGTTCCTTGAGGTCCCATAGGGCCTGGAATTCCTCTTTCACCTTTCAATCCTGGTGGTCCATCCTTACCAGTAGGACCCTAAATGTCAACAAGAAATGGTTGGAAAAACTATTAAAGTGGATCAGATAAAGTGGAATAAAGCTTATGGTTGAACTTATTCGATGTTAGATTATTGCATTGAACATAGTTATTTCGTCATAATCAATAATTTCAGTTTTATAATTAACCGTTAAAAATCTAGAGCCAACACTAAATTAGCAACCGCTGAATACTAAGAGGCACTGAACAGTTTCCATTTTAATCTTTAAGCAACTCAGTAGCAAGTATTTCATAATGATTTGGGCCTCGATAACAACTGACAATTAGTGGCTCAATCTCATATTGATCAATTTATTTTAAAAGTGTTGTTTACTATAAGGCAAAATATACCAATGAAGTGAAACATGATTCGACAACTGATAACTAGACAGATATGTCCTCTAATATAATAATGCTTACATCAATTTATATCTGTTTAGGATAGCCGAGATTGCAACAATACATGAATAACAGGAAGTCACCATAGATGGAAAGACATTAAAACAGACAAACAAAAGATGCATGAATAGTAACATGTTCAAGGTTTCAAAAAGTAATGAGTTAACATATCTAATACATTGTAAGACCTCAGAAGGTGTTGTCTTTGATTCGTAACCATAGTTCTTTCGTGGCCAGAATCTCAGTCAGGAGGTCGGCGTCTTTTGCATAACTCAGACGAACAGCTTTCTTTTCAACATTGCTCCTTGTTTGGGCTGTATTGTACTTTGATATAAATAATGAACTAGCATGTACAAGATCTAACCAAATCACTTCATTTATTACAGCTTCTCAATCCAGTTTTTCCAAAGACTTTCCATTTAATCTCGATGTCATTTACTCAATTGTAATACCACATGTAACCCATTAAGACATGTTTAACGATCATGCCTGTAATCTACAGTTGTCTCATACTCATTGGTTAGTATAGAGTGGATCACAAACTAAAACAGGAAGTTGGGCGTTTTGTTTTTAATATAGGTGATTTAAGTTAACTAATCTAGAACAAATTTAGGAATATATGATGATGAGAGTGGGTCAGTACTGGAACTACGCTACATTAAATGGGTTAATTGAATAAAATATTGAAAAATTCACAGAAGTATGTTAAGGATATTATAAGTCTGAAAATGAGGTAGACTAGTAATTCACAAAACAAAAGACAAGTTACCATTGGTCCAGGTTCACCATCAGCTCCTGGACTTCCATCTAAACCTGGATCACCAGGATCGCCCAGAGAACCTGGTGCACCTTGAAGTCCTTCATCGCCTTTTAAACCAACTGGTCCAATCATTCCAGAAGGTCCTGGAGGTCCTTGAGGACCCATAGAACCTATAAGCCCGGGAAATCCATCTGGTCCTTGTGTACCCATTTGACCGACTGGGCCTTGAGCACCAGGTAATCCAAGTGGTCCTTTAGGTCCAGGTGGACCAAATGGACCTGGAAGACCAACTTCACCTCGTTCACCCTAAAATATAAATATAAATATTTACTCAAGTCAATTTATTGTAATTCAACGGTTTAAAAATATATCATGTAAATAATAACTGGCTACGATGTGAAAATATAAGCCTTCATGAAGCATTAAAATAAGTTATTTACAGAGAATTATGGGAATCCCTACATAAAGAACGTGCTATCCTCACGAAACTCCAACATTGAATGATCTGTAAGTAAGACAGCAGATTTAGTTATTGGTTTCAATCATGAGTTTCATTTTACTTTTCTGGCTTGTGATACATTTTATTTATTATCCAAAATAGTATGAAAACTTGTTACACATTCACGTTTACAAACTTGATAACTATAAAAGTTAAAATACTTCTACAAAAACTTAGTAGCATGGAACATGAACACTACATTAATTTAAAAAAACCATGAAACTTTTGTTTTGATGACATCAGTAAAACTCTGTTTTAAATCTTTGAATAATTGTTCCCCTTGTTTGATACGCATTATCAGTACTCGAAGATAACTAAAGAACGAGAAGACGACTGTATCAAACATACAGAGATAATAAAACGATATCGTGGGGATTTAAAACTTGTATTCATTAGAAATTGATATCACCAAATTAAAATCTATACTAAAAGACTCAAATATCACACTTCGTAATTCTCATTTGAAACCAAATTGAAGTCATAATGGAGCTTAACACATATTGAGTCTACCATTTTTAGACTTGTGGGTTTTTTTCAAAGAAATTATAGATTATCATATTATATGCGCGGTATTAAAATGACATCAAACAGTTTTCATTGACAAAACACACTTAGCAACTAAAAATATACAGAGTTTTTCTAGCTTTTTCATTATTTAAAATATGTTTAAAATCAAATTACAGTTTTTTAATTGGATACCTTCCAGTATTAGAAACCATAATATATAGTTTGTTTGTTTGTTTTTATAACGTGACATACTATCAACATTGTAAAATTCTTAATGACATGAAATGTCTACTCCTAATATATGTTACTATTGGTAACAAATTTGACTTACCATTGGTCCATCAATACCTGGGGAACCTTTTATACCTTTAAGACCAGGTATACCCATTGGACCCGGTGGACCTGTAGATCCAATTAAACCCATTGGACCAACTGGTCCTGGTGGACCTGGAGTTCCACGTAGACCAGGTTCACCATCTATACCTGGTTTGCCATCGATTCCTGGATCACCAGATGGACCTGGTGGTCCACGTGCACCATCTTCGCCAGCTGGTCCCGGTGGCCCGGGTTCACCAATTTTTCCTGGTGGTCCAATAGGTCCTGATGGTCCAGGTGGACCAGGTTCACCTGGAGCCCCTCGAGGACCTGTTACTATATTTGGTTGCAAAAATGGTCCAGGACCTTTGACACTCTGAAAAAAATCAAGCAAAAGAAAACGATATACATAAATAACCGAAATACGGTTCAATATTTCATGCATGAATATATACATACTTTTCAATAATTCATAAGGATATGCGATAAATATTGAAATGAATATGTTTTGCTTATGTGATAGATAAAGGATTTTGTCATTATAACGAACATTTAATTATGAGGTAGCTTATGTTAAACAGATAATCACTCTTAACTTCTTAACTGTCTAACTTCAACCAATCCACGAAACTGCGGCACCGTACACCATTGTCTTTTAGGTAAATTAGAATGTTATATATATACAATTAGATTTCAATAGTATAGTTAATGCTAGAATTGTTTACATTCAGTCATCACATAAACAATCAGTTTGCTCTAAGATTTAGTAAAACTGTGTAAGGATAACCATCCTTTCTCAGTGTTCAATAAAAGTGTAATATCTAGCATTTTTTTGTATTTTCCCTTTCATTTTATATGTCAGTGTTCGATATAACAGTGTAATTTTCATTGAAAACTTTATTTTAATCATGTACTAACATATGTTTTCCATGAAAATGAGACCCTCTAGGGGATCCCGAATTGCCAGATATGAAAAAAAAAACAAATAAAAGGAGAGTTAGTGTTGGTGATGAGATCTCCAGTGAAAGTTATGCTCTCACATGTCGGTACTGACCCAAATGAATGGAAAAGTGGCAGATATTTCACATGTATCAAACATTGAGAAGCAGATACCTTATAAATTCATGGACATTAATTCTACTCCAAAGAGACAGCTATATGAATTTGAAATTTATTCATAAAAGTTAACTGGAGCATTCAATGAAGTTTTATCTAGTAAACTAAATGCATATATACATACACCCCCATCTATTTAATACGACAGCAGCCACTATCCCGATATAAACTGACAGGTTTATCTTTCCTTATTTTTTTCGGTAAGGGGGATTTTAGAGATTGTTGAATTTTGTAGTTTACATCATTAACTGACTTTAAGTAGAGTAGCATTAAATTATTTTTTAAGGACTTGTATAGTTTGGAAAGAAAAACGTTTAACCATTATTAGAATGATTAACATCTTTAAAAAAAAAAGAAACAATTTTATTTACATACTGATGGTATTGGAGTAGTTTCTGGTATATCATCGTCTCCACCACTCGCTGAAATATCTTCATCTAATACACCATCATCTTGTCTTCGAATACGTACAACTCGTTCACCTATACAAATAAGAGAGAAATAAATACACAAAAATCAAATAAAATATCATATTTAACAGTTGAGTAAATAAATGAACTTTTTCTCAAGCATATCTAACATGGAATATTTACCGACTGGTCGATATTGAATAGTATGGTTATGTTTTAATGTAAATTTGAGTGAAGTCCGATTGAGGACACATGGTGTATTGAATTTTAGATTGTTATTCATATAACATTATATTCATAGTTCTGAGTTAGACCATATGTGAATTTTATAAAGTTCATACTATTAAAACAGAAGATTTACCTATCTTAGTGGTCCCTAGTTTTGTCTTTTTTTTCAGCTGAGCTCAAACCATTAGAAATTTATATAATGGTAGTAATGGTGTAGTGAAAAAGAATACAAGTGGGGACAACTAAATATGTTTGAGCACAAAATTACAGAATCGCTTAGTAAAATCTGAGAGCTATACGGTAAATACTTCATTCGTAAAATGTCTATCGATTGTCTCAAGCTTCATTATTCCTTCATTTCCATGTCGATCACTTTCTGTTCTCATTCTCTTCTTCTTAATCTCCTCAATCTTCTGCCTCCAGGCATTCCAGTTTCGACTGGTGATACATACTACTTATATCTGTCGACATCAGCAGCACGCACTACTACAAACATTTTATTAGAGTAACTAGTTTTCAACACGAGTTATGCAATATTGCAAGAAATTTCTCTCAAACATACATTTAAATTATAGTTATTCAACAATTACATTTTTTATAATATTTTTTTTCTAAAAATCGGTCTCGTCCACCCATTTTTAGTGAAGTAAGTTGACTGTCAGTTGAAGTGATATAACCCCCTTTTGTTTTCATCCATAAGATGTTGAATAAATGAATGATCTACAGCTTTTGAAAGGGGGAAAATATACCAATAACTGTAATGTTTCCGTTTGAATTTTCTGGTATTTAACAATGCAATTAATAGTAACCCTTCTACAATCACATGTATACACATCCAATTACCATTCATAATCAATCAGTTCAAATCGATGTAAAACAAGGAGTTTTATTATGATATTTATATAATTGGAAAATAAATTACCCAGATATTTGAACAGGTTATCAGTTGAAAGCGCTAAATTAAACTTGATTATACATATATTTACAAAATGTTAATACTGTTTAATTAATTAAACTATTCTAGGTAAAATAATAGTTGTAAATCGAGTGTTCTGCGACTACTGGGACACACCTCAAATTTAATGAAATTACACCGACAAGATTATTTACTGACTCGACAATAATTATTAATTTGTCACATGCATTTTCTTTTATCTCACTTTAAAAAAAGTATATCATTGAGTGACTAGCCCTAAATTTAACTTAAAGTCCATTATTATTGTTCATTTGTGAAAGCTATTAAAGAGATCCATTTAATAATAATGTTCAAGATTAGCTTTACCATAACTGAATAATAATTCTCATATTTATTCATAAATTTACATTTACACTTTCCAAGTTATTCCGAGGTACCTCTGTGACCCATGCTACTTATGTCTGTCGATATAAGTAGTAGGTAACCTCAATCAAAGGTTGAATGGCTGGTAACAGAAGGCTAAGAAGATCAAGTTGAAGAGAATAGAAGGGGAAATAGAAAGGAATTGTAAACTGGAAGAATTACACAGAGTATGAAGGACAAATGATAGAAATTTACAAACGAAGCATTTAGTGTATAGTTCTCATATTTTACCAAGATAATTCTGTAAATAAGTTGGTTGTCCTCTCCTGAGTCTTCGTTCACTACGCTTCTACATTATTTTATTTAATCATACATACATACATAAATACAGTGTATTACATTTTTGTGTTCTATAACTTCATCATCGAATGTAACATGAGATCTACACCAATTGTATAGTTAGAAATTAGAAATAATTAGTTTCTATTATAACATTACCATAGTTCACAAACATCATCCACATTGATCGCGTTTACTAGTGATGAATAACAGTCTTATCATCAGTCTAGACATAACAGACAAAGTTGGTTGACTGTTATTTAACCTTTAAATTTCATTCTTTGTTTAAAATTTGTTATTTCAAAATACTTACGACTTAAGTTTACTATTTATCATATAAATAACACATTTAATAAATATTTAGTCAGTTGGAATCCTGAAGGCCAAAGGAGAAGAGGAAGACCAAAGAACACATTACGCCGGGAAATGAGAATAGACATGAGAGAAATGAACAAGAATTGGATGGAACTAGAAAAGAAGGTTCAGGACAGAGTGGGTTGGAGAATGCTGGTCGGCGGTCTATGCTCCATTAGGAGTAATAGGCGAAAGTAAGTAGTCAGTTGGTTAGTGATTCCTGATAAAACCTGTACACTAACCGTCTATGATTCTTAGTCTCTAGGCGATTTATAAACTTTAAATCTCTTCAATTCCTTAACCCCTAGCGAAGTCAAAAGGCAGAGTTGTGAAGAAAGTTTCAATTCCAAGTTTAGTTCTCGTGCAGAAAATAAGGAGGATTAATAGAATTACAAGTGACATTGGTATTCAGGAAGACTTTGGAAAATATACTAAAACTATTAATTAATTCAACTTCTAACCAAACAGATTAGAGAAAATCACAATTTGTTATTTTCAATATTTTCTCAAAAACTTTCCATTAACATGGACTTATTAAAAGAGACTTTGAACATTTTCTCAGCTTCTAGAGCATTTTCTTTACAATTATAGATGTCACCCTACATTGCTGTCTTTTGATGATTATGCTGTATAAATATAGGAGTAGTTCATACTCTGTCATTACAATGAATTTATTAAGTCAGTTATTCTAACGTATTCACATTAGTATTATTGAATGAAATATGAACGGTTTCGGTTAGGTAATGCTAAGCACATTAGATACTTTGTAAATGATATCAATAGAAAAAAAGATATTGTTCTGTACTGAACTATTTTTGTTCTACACCTTCAATATTTGTTTACTAAATCTTCTGAATCAATGAAATTCCTGGAAATACATTTAAAACTTGTCAAGAATCTGGAAAAAATGTGCTCATAATTACTTTTAACTGATTATTACATTTGAAAAGTATGTAATCAAATCAATAGTGTAATAAATTTGTGTTATTCCTTAATTTGATTGGTCAAACACTGAAATTATTACTGATCTCATTATATTTTCTGTAAACCTCTAGAGCATTAAGATCGATCCTCATAACCATGAAATCTTTATTGGAAATTATGTTCACCTACTAAGTGAACCAAAATCTTACTGAAAAGGCTGAATATAAAACGTTGATTGAACTTCAGTGCTCAATTCGACTAGTTATATACTTGAATTATTGAAATCAGAATAGTTCGTTGATTTATTTTTACTACTGAATAATGTTAATTCACATGATACATAGTTAGGAGAGGATTTCCTACCAATCTACATACAACAAACCTCGAAATCCTCAGTACTTACTGAAAGTTCGGTATCATTTGAATCCTCGTATTAAAACTCATTTAATTCTCAATGGGTTGGTAACTACATAACAACTGACACAGTTGAAGTCGACCAATCACGAATTTTCATCAAAACTATAAATATTAATGAGTACATAATTTAAATGACACCTCTGTCTACCTCAAAATGATATTAATCGATGACAAAACCAACATCAAAAATCAACCGGTCTTCGAAACTTTCTTTATCCATATAATAACAAAGTAATTGTAATAATCGTAAAAATAATAATAGCACTACTGATGGTAATAATAATAGTAGTAATCATAATATTTCAAAGCAGTATATAAAATGATGTAACTACCATCAAATGACAAGTTCTGAAGCGCCAAAAATAAATATCTATTTGGATTTCTATCTTTACAAAATTAAATAATTTTTAATGGTTGAATTCATGAGTCAATGTGAGCTAGACCACCTATGAAAACCTGGAAGTTTTGGACGACCATTTCGTCCTAGTATTGGACTCTTCAACAGTGCGCATCCACAATCCCACCTGCGGGACTCAAACCCAGGACGTTCAGTCTTGCACGCGAACATTCAACCTTTAAACTACTGAGCCGACATCCAACTACTGATGAGTCCCATACTAGAACGAAACGATCGTCCAGTTCTTTCAGGTTCTCAATGGTGGTTTAGCTTATTTCGACTCATGAATTCAACTATTAAAAAATCACTACAATCTCTACGAACCTCCATTCTAAAAATTAAATATGTAAAGTTACATTTTACATGTGTAAATAATGTGTATATTAAAAGTTTACGCTTTTATATTTCTATAATACAAGTGATCGAGTTAGAGTTAGATTCAGATAAATAATTTATAGCAAAAATATCACTAATATTTGTTTAAAATAATTCATTATTGCATAAAATCGTATATCAGTTGATGCTTTTTGTTGTTGTGATAACCTTAATGGGTAAATAAAGCGAATAATAATAGTTATGATGAAAGTGTCTTAAGTTGGTGGAAAAGATTTGTAGCTCAACTGGATGATTTTGATGGAGTTTTGTACTCTGAGCTGGATGGTTTGGTCGTGGAGCTTTTATCGTTCTTCTGAACGACATCATCAGTACAAACTTCAGATGGAAGTGAAGTGTTCGGATTTATCACAGTGTTTTCAGTAATTACATTTCGTCAGTTCACTATAAATTTCAGTCTTATTTCATTTATTTTCACATTGTGTGAGATGGCTGGATAGAACATCAATTCATTCAGGCTTAAAGATACATTTTGTTTACAAACGCCAACTAGTATACATCACAAGTACATAAATTTTATCAATTAATTATATGTCTTGTATCAGTCATAGTACATTACGATGTTAAGTTATTGGAACTAATAGCCACACTACATTTTAATTAACAGAATTCTATCAGTCCTATGATAGTGCGTACCATCAAGTAACAGATTATTATAAATGTGCTGATTTTCAAACTATTTTATACTCTTTATCACATGTAAACTTCCTTCTAGTATAGTATGGTCTATGTCTAATCTCTTCTTTTATGATAGATTATGTTACTACTTTTTCTTTGTCATTTGTTTTATTAATTTCATTTTGCTTTATTGATACGGTATGGCAGCTTGAGCCGATTCATATATGTCCCGGGTTCTGCTTTGAATGTGATTAAATGACTAGCAGGTATCTTATTTCTTCTAGGGGTCAGTCTGGATCTTTATGGTTGATTAGTAACGTTTCTAACCGTAATACCAGTTGACTCGATTCCTTCATCCTTGTAGATTCACACTGTTATCAAGTGCCGATTGCCTCTACGGAATCGAGATCTAATGCTTCTTGATAAATGTCATCAACCAGTTAACACTACGACATAATTAATATAGTCATAATGATTATGGCTTGTTGTCTAATTCATGAGATATTTAGTTACTGTTTTGATTGTTTTGTTTAGCTCGGTGTGTCAACTGGTAAATAGGTTACCAGTTCTACTATGAATATAGATGAACTAATCGATAACTGGAATAGGGAGAGAGGGAGGTCATATAACTGTTTTCCTATTATTACGGCCTAATCACATGGGATTAAATACTATCTAAATATCTGCTTTTTCCTACTTAATGGGATGATTATTAATGAGTGGATGCTGCTACTGTGGTAGATGTCTAGTGCATCATTAATATTATGGAAAAATAGATGGGAATAACACCTTCAACCAAAATATTTTTGTTAGAATATTCATATTACAATCTACCAGTGAATTTATAACCCTCTATGGTAACCTTTATTAACCAAGATCCTATACCTTTTCAAAATATACTGAGTGAATATGTAACGATTAGGATATTTTTCATTAACCAATTTGTTACATGATACTGTTTATTCATTTGTTATTCTGATCGTAATAAGTATATATTACAATAATTAAAATCCATAGTCATGTTATGCGTATAGTTGTATTTTAAATTAGTGACTATCAACAATGAAATTCAGTATATGTGCTTCATTCTATCCGGTGCTTATCAACAAAAATGTAACTGAATCTCAGTGTCAGCGTTTTCATAATGCGATTTGAACTCAGCATCTGTCTCACTATCCGCATGAGCTGTTAAATCATAATAATTACCAATTATTTCAATAGTATAATATTGACAAATAATCGACTTTTAATGTCATCGTTTCATGAAGACATCAATTCACCTAGTTCAATATATATATATTAACAGAAATATTATGTGTGTAACTAAACCCCGAAATTTTCAAATTTTTATCTGTTCATGAAGATAGTTCAAGAGTACTAACATGAAAATAAAAATCTGTTCAGTTCTACCTTTTTTTCTCTTCCCAAATTTATTTCACTGGATTATACTCTTTAAATAACATCTTCAAACCCTAATCTTTCTGAATACTGCTTATACTCTTACTACCTCTACCACTACGGGATTTGAATCGACCACTGCATCTCTGTGCTAATGTGGTATGGCAACTCGAACTGATGTACGTACGTACGAAGTTCTACGTTGTTACAGATTGACTGACTCAGTTCTGCCTGGCTTAAATCAATCTATAGTCAAACAAAACAATCATCAGAAATATTATTTATTTTAACATGGTAACTTATAAAGACTAAATAGGTCAACAATAACAAAAAAAATTTTTTTGAAATGTGTTTTTTTCTTGTTTAATATTTACTAGTCTAAATACAAAGTAAAAAACAAAACATGTTTTATTCAAAATAAAGTAGACAAGTGTTTCCATGTGTGTATGTGTTACGTTTCTGTTAATAATCAACTGTATAGACTCTAAAAGCCTAAATCAATATTTTTTATTTAGTAAATAATAAATAAATAAAATCAATTTTAACAGTTAAATTCATGAGTTGATCTAAGCTAGACCATTATTGAAAATCTGAAGCACTGAACGATTGTTTCGTCTTAGTATGAGACTCTTCAGTAGTGAGCATACAATTAACTCAATCAATTCTACATTGATGCTTTTTGTCTTTTAAAAGTATACAGTAATCAGGTATGTGTTAAACAGATATAAGAAATAATAGTGAAATTCCGTCAATAACATGATAGTGTATTTTAACAAAACACATCAGACAATGAAATGTCTTCATTTTATCAGTAATTGAATAGTAATAATAATTATAATCTATAACTTAGATGATATTAAACGAATTTTAAAAAAGGGAATTATCAACAAAATTTAGGATAAATTTCTATTTAATTATTACATTGACTACTTCGGATGTAAATTATTTTATTAATATTTACTAAATAAACTGTTATTTTAACATAGTTATGATTCAATATCGACTCATATTTAATTGGTTGTCATTTTAAGCCCTGAATGTAGGTGATTCTCTGCCTTTCGACTTCACGATGAGTTAAAAAGTTGAGGGGACTAGGAGTCTGTAAATCACCTAGATTGTTATTTTAAGCCCTGAATGTAGGTGATTCTCGTTGAATTTAGTAGTCATAGTGGTACATAGTAGTTCCTTTAATCGTTTTCTAATGTATAAATTGTACATTTTTATTTACAAGATAGTTTACTCCAATTACTAAACAAATAACTAACAATTACAGAACAAATTGGTTTATAACAAAACTATTAAGTCTACATGGATCGATTGGTAAAATGTTTTTAGTCAGGAACATGTTCTTTGCTATAAAAATGTATAAACCCATCTCAGAGAAAATAATATCGTTACTTTGACTAAGTTCCTCATTAATAATTTAATATTAGATATCAGTCTTTTCTGAGTTTCTACTGATCTATGCCATATACATCAACTAACTCATAGAATCACCAACGAAACCAGTTCGGTATTCATTAAACAATGTTTAAAATTTATTAAACTTAAATGGCTACCCTTTTTAATGTTTGCATTTAGTTGCTCTGGTTACTTCAGTAACCAATAAATAAAGGCGAACATAAATCAACAATATACATATATATTGTATAGTTGGTTAAAATGACATAGATAGAATACACAAAACTTACTTGAGACTAAACTGACTGTACAGCACAGTATGCATATAAGTAATATCGGAAGATATATAGGATTATGATAAGATGTATAGTTTGATAAATTGCATAATATTTTAATCCGCATTATTTAAAAAACCTCAACTTCTCTATCGCTTGCTGTCTCTCTCTCTTTCTGTGTCTCACTCTATCTCCTCAAAGATGGTTATATTATGTATAATCAATTTGTTGATATTATTTCCAGAATTAATTAATAGATATTAAACACGTTTGGGGAAAAGTAAATCAGATTAACACGGAAATGAGAGATCAACAGAGAAATATACCAAGTGTCCAATAGATCGGTTTACAAGTTGAAACTACTTTTCCTACCGATTACTGTGTGTATATATATATATATATATATATATATACCTGAATATATACAATTGAGATTTTGGACTACATATCGGTTGATAATTAGAAGATATGTATGTACAATTGACAACAGTTACTTAGATAGGAAAAATAAACGCACACTAACAAACATATATATAAACAAACAATACAAAAATGAATTAAAGTGTGATAGAGTTTGTAAAATTATTTCTTACTAAAATAGTGCAGTAACAGAAATGTCAGAGTTAAACAACAATTTAAAGTTGATCATTTAGATTCTGATTGGTTAAATGAAAACAGATTACTATTTCATTTGTAACCAATCAAATTTAAGGTTTCTCTTGAAATGAGGAAAAAGTTGAATGAAGAGAAAATAGGGAACAAGAGGATGACGAAGAAGGAGACAAGAAATATTGTGCTTACAGAGAATGAGAGAGCGAAAGAAAGACTAGTATTGACGTAAACACCATGTCCAATATTACGGTGTTTTGTATATATATATATATATATATATATATATATATATATATATATATATATATATATATATATATATATATATATATATATATATATATATATATATATATATATATATATATATATATATCAATACTCGGTTTTTTTTCTTTAGAGAGCAAAAATAGTTTCTAACTTTTCAACTATTATTCTTTATATTGTAAAATGTAATTTGTGATGAATAGTATATTTCAGACTTTATTCCACTCATTGTAGTTAGTTTCAGTTTCTAGAAGGTTAAAATGTATTTTTGACTATTATTCACTTTAATTTTCATACGAAAAACAAATTCTAAATGCTGACTGAATAATTGACTTGATTGTCCAATAGATTATTGCAGTGTTTTATTGATAGATTCATTGATACCTGAAAATAAATACATATTCTTCTTTCATATCTATTCGAGAAAAGGAAGTATATCTACCGTTAAACTCAACGTGTCGATTTAGTGTAAGATTCATAGAATAAAAACATTATAATCAACAGTATGATTTTAAATGTATATTTCTTCCTAGTTGGGACTCGTCAGGTGGATGTAAGTGTATCCCGATGCTTATGTTCACATTTTGACTCGTACCAAGTAACTTTCGCTTCAGATTGATCAAAACCCAGTTCTGAATATCAACAATGAAATTACTCAAAGCCTTTCTAATAGTAAAATAAATATCCTATACGTTGAGTAAGTAAGTGTCTATCTGGATTCAATAGCCCGGTAGATATCGGGTTAGAGACTGAGTTGGAAGGTACTAGGTTCAAGTCTCAGCGTGAAAATTTGAAAATTACCCCACAAGCACTAGTTTTCATTTTGTTCCAATGATTTTGGTGATCGACTAATCATCCTCAAACGGTTTATTATTTTCATGTTCATTAACTGTTTTTTCTTAATAACTTCTTACCACATGACTGATTGACCTAATTCTCAGGGGTTGGCGAATTGAATCTTAATCAACATATCAGCTGATCACAAACTGACCTGGATATCAAGAATCTAAAAATTCCCTAACAGTTTTAACTTTTCCTTGAGCCATAACTCCAGAGTTGACATCCATAGCTGACCTACGCCAATCGATATTAGTGATGACATATTGCGTAGTTTGTAACTGCTTATCTATGTTCATAGATAAATATCAGTATAGGATTATTAATATTTTTTAGTTCTTAATTAAGATCATGAATTGATCAGTGTTAGACCGTCATTCAAAACCCAACTGATGATATTCTTTTTATGATAACATTTTTTCCAATAAGCAAAGTAATTTTTAGATTACACAAATGGATGATATAAGTTCAAATTCCATGGAAAGTAGTAGTTCCCTTATGTCTATTAATATACATTGTTGATAAATGTAAACGAACTCAAAACTTAGGTCAATTAGAAGTTCATTTCAACTGGTTCCAAATACTAGATTACAAAAAAACATTTCATACAATTATGAAATCATTTAAACTAATGTTTGTCGCACCGCAATTTGATCGATAGAGTCCTATCATTAATAAAAGTCAGAGAAAAATGATAGTAATAACTACTCATTGTAAATTATACATTTTGAAGTTGGAAACGTCAGAAATATTTATTTGTTAGGTTATAGTTGTCAATTATTTAGATACTAAACGTGACAAGGTTATAGTCTACTTAACTACTCATTACTACTTAACGTTGAAGTTAATTAATATCGATTGATTAGATAGTAGGCACAAGTACTTTTTTCTAATTGATTTTGCTAAACATACTTAATTTTCTTTGACTAGTGCCTGTGAACTATTGAAAACTAAATATTGAAGACTTTGAATGATGATAGTTTGAAATCAGTTTTCATATCATAGATTTACTCACTTTTCGACTTCATTTTCTTCCTAACCAATAACATTCGTCTTATTTTGAAGTAAACATTTTCACAGAAATTAATTAATTCACCAAAGGAATCCTTTTAAAAGAGTTCATTCATGAAGTTATATAATTTATCTAACTTTTTATAGAGGTTTGAATTGTCCCGTTGTTATTGATATTAAGTACGTTAATTAATCAATATTTTCTGGTATATTTGGATCCTGTGTGGACTGTTACGATGTTACCTTTGATTACAAATTTCTAGTCTATTTAGACTGTGACTAACAGTACAATTAGGGATGTATATTTCATCCTATAGGGACTTGTCAGCTAGTTGTATCCGCATCTCAATGTTGATGTTTATACACTAAAAACTATATGCAGTACTTAGTACTTCATGCGCGATCTCATTATCTATTAAATTACTAAGTTTAAACATCTAATGACTTGTCAAACAGGTATGAATTTCGTTGTTAAATGATTGACGACTTATATAAGTTCTGATAAGTTGAGCCAATACGAAATCATGCTATTTAAATATCAAATAAATTTCTTTATGATTTTCCTTATTTTTCAACATTAAGTTTGATTACCTAGGTGGTAAATTGTATTAACTTTATTTATGTCACAGTTCACGTTGATATGGTACTTATTAATCAAGTATTGACTCCTGTACTAAATCTTAAGTTAGATAATTTTTATAAGAGCTACTGGTGGCATCTGACTGCGAAGTAGGAAGAAAATTTGAACCTGTGGTTTACTGGTTGAAAGCCAAAGGATTTAATTAATGTCACTACTTCAAAAACCCCATTACAAATTATTTGTTATATGCTTCAGAAAATAACCATTGACAGATAGTGTTTGCAGAACAGATAGACTTAGCGTATGTGAAATTGTTAGACAACTCACTTGTACGTGTTGATTTCATTCAAAACAACAATAAAAGCTGAGCTCGTGAAGCCATCTAGTTCATTGAACGCAATATCATCAAAAGCGTCCAGATGAACTATAAATCTTCATCATCATACTATAATCACTATCAACCATATAAATGTGTTACCATTATCTCAAGATTATTTAAATGTATGCAGATGAAATTAGGTTTGAACTTGTGACATGATGATTAAAAGTTAAGTTTTACAGGAGTTAGACAAACATGATATTAGTTACTGAATTCGCACTGATTACCAACCAATATCAATATTTCCGTTCAGGGACTATGGTTTCTTGCCAATTCCTTCCGGTCATCAAACGATCAAAGGTGTGTATGTATATAAACCACGCATTCTATTTATCATAACAGTCAATAAAAAGGTTTATTGTACACAGCCTAATCACTTAATTCCTGAAAGCGATAATTAAATACCAACTAATAGCAATCACACAAAGAAACAATATTGACTGTCCATTAATCGTGTTAATATGTACAGTTATTTTGTGCCATTATTGATCAACACTCAGGAAACTAGAGGGATATAGACAACTAATGTATACATAATAGAATAATAAAAAAAATGAAAGGCCGGTGTGTAGGCGTATTTATAAATATACTGTGGATATATATATATAAGATAAGTAGTCAATACATATACACCACCAGTGTACACAGTTAATACGTGCATATATATTTCAGCAGGTTCTGTACCCCGTTGGTATCATACCGAAGAAGCAAATAATATTTCTGAAAAAGATTTTCATTCTTTTAAACAACATAATTTGGAAATTCTTAAAAACGAAATAACATTTTGCACAGTTCTTATTTTTCAAGTTACTTTGTTTTTCTCTTCAAAATGAAAACTGGACAAGTGGTACAATGTTTAAGATTTTTCGGTGAGACTATAATTTATGGACGATTTTTGAACGACGCTAAAGTGACCTTGAGAGTATCCCCCTAACAACTACGACTAAATGAGGGTTATGAACCATTGCAATTATAAAATTTTATAAAAGGGGTTAATTGCTTTAAATGAGAATTATGATTTACAGTTGATGGTTAAGGTTGGTAATTAGATTTAGGATTTTCATCATGAACTGACATTAGCTATAATGCCAAAACGCCATTTAGCCAAATGGATGAATGAATTTTGCGCCAAAATCTTATATCTGACTGGTTCGTCCATAAGTAATAGTCACACCGATTTTTCATTAGATTACAGTTAAATGGAAATACTGTTCCAGCTATTGAATACTAGATTTAGGTGGGTAATATAATTAAAAGGGAAACAATTGGGTATTTCGATTATATTGAACTTGTCTTGCTTTCAGTTTATTGATTTCTAATCGGGAATGTGCATTTGTAATCAGTTATAGACATAAGCAACATAGAACCTGGGATAAATATGAGTTAGTACAAATCTCTATACCATATTATTAATCTGAGACTTAATTAGCAGTACTTTCATGTAATGATGCCACATCTTCATTTGGTCGCTAAGGTTCATTTGTATATTTCAGCAAAATAATGCTCATTTCTAGATATTCGAAAACATGTCGTTGAATATGACTACTGGAGGTAACCAATTCACCAAGTACAGGTTTAGGTACTCAACTTTGACTAATACTGCTTGTTTGGCAACTATTTAATTACCTAAACCAAATTAGGTACTCCAGTATTGGTTGAAAGTCAACTGTTTTAAACATTAAACTATCATGATAGTAATTCACCGGAACCTCTTTTGAAGAACATACTATGAACTTACTTTTCAATGATAGTGGCCAAAACTTTGTTATTTAATTCTTTGTGTTCTGTTATTTGTAAAAACAAAAATACATATGCATAGTTCACCAAAATGTTTATAAAAATGATTATCTGGACTAGGATAAATTATTTACGGGTCAAATATTAAACCATGTGACACAATGATTGACCTTGTACTCATTACACATGCATAGGGATTTAATGAAATTATTCTATTGTTGACACTATTAGATATAGACCGATAGGTTAGTTTCTGCAACTTTTGAACCTATACAGATTGATATGTCATAATTTTGAATGAACAAAATTTAAAGAAAATCAATCTCACTTTTGGTTAACCGATTTTTAGAGATCCATTTACTGTACAGTATATATCTAATATGACGAGTAGTGAAGTACGCCTAACAATTAGGTGCGAATGACCTGCATTTGGTATATTCTCCACTTGTGTATTTGTTAAATGACTGCTAATCGTGTCTGTCCTTATGTTCAATACTTTATATATAGACGTGTTATGTTATTATAAAACAAAGAGTATTCTATTGGGTAACTGTTTTGACTTCTGATACCATGTAACCTGTGGAGGAACTCGAATGCCTCACTTCTGTCTGAAATTTTTGTGCAGGAAGACAATGAAGACTTCACGATCAAACCATCTAGCTCAAGAAACAAAACACCACCAAAAAAATTGATGGAACTATCACTACCATATGGTATCGCTGCTTTTGACTTACGTAAACCGTCTTTATTTTCTTAACACAATTAACACTTTTAAATAGAAACCTTACAAATTTTCAAATCAATTGTCTTTTGTTTCATAAGCTGTAGTGATGTTAATAGTAGCCATCTATCTATTGGTCCAGAGTATTGAAGACGATCATAGGTGGAATGTCCAGCTGGTAGCTCCTCACTATCATAATCAGTCTTCGTATAAATTAAAAGAACTAAATACCATTGTAAACTAAGATGGTTGGTGGCTAGCACATACGCCAATAAGAGACTGGCCAATTACAGTTCTGAGCATCAATGGGAAGATTCGAACAAACAATACCAATAATAAAAAAAATTACTACAATCTCTACGAAACCCCCTTTCTGATAATAATCATATGCTCACTAGTGACTGGCTTCAAGAGGTATTTCCTGGAGTTCTAGTGGGAAACCGTGACCAGTGGAGTTCAACCAGGTCTGTTGTGAGATATCAACTCACTGAAGACAATGACCCGATTTCGTGGATTGGTTGAAGTTAGACACTGACACCGTTGGATGCCGGCTCAGTGATCTACAGGTTAAACATTCGCGCGCGAGATTGAAGGTCCTGGGTTCGAATCTGGCGGGGGGGCGGAACCGTGGGTGCGCACTGCTGAGGAGTCCCACACTAGGACGAAATGGTTGTCCAGTGCTTTCAGGTTTTTTATGATGGTCTAACTTCAATTGACTCATGATTTCAACTGGTGAAATTCCTAAAATCTCCACAAAACCGCTTCTGACTTGAAAATATGTTAGATTAATTAATGGTAACTTCACTACCGGTACAACAAATTTCTGTTTTATTTATAAAATTAACCTATAGATATGAATGTACAACATTTTAGAAAATAACATGATTGACAAACAATTTTTCTTCGTTGAAATATCTTTTACTTCACTTACAAACGGAACAGATATGAGTGCATTTTGAAACTTTATTTCATAAAACAAGTAGATATTTAAGAAAAGTAAAAAGAAAAAAACAAGACAGAAACAATTAACAAACAGAATTTTATATTAATCCAATAAGTTATATACTACACAGTACACTGAAGAGTGACAAGAGTAAAATGAAGTTATCAAATTTTACAAGTAATAGCAAAACCCAAAAAGCAAACAGACTATATTTGAATGTAAGTTTGTATGCTTATGTTCTCCAATTATCAGAACATTGAATTAGTAAAAACAACTAGGAATTTCAGTGTACCAGGAACAGACATAAAAATAGTTATTTGTAATCAATGACCACAAACTTCATTATTAATTGATGATAGATATGTTTCGATATGAACACTTTGAAATTCCTTGAATAGTACTACATTCAACTAGGCAAGCACAAACACAGAGAGATTTATAGACAATAATAATAATAATAATAAGATTATGTCGATAAGAGCACCACCCATGATATAATCAAAAGTAGTGAATTATGAAGGAAAACGGAAAGTTAGAAAAAAATCATAATCATATATACATATGCATTTGTGTACATATATGTATAGGGGACATTTAAATAAACTATTAGAGTTCACTTCGAACTGGTGTAAGTCGAGGTTTCTTGACACGTTTAACACTTGATTTTTTCGTTTTACGTGCTGATTCTGCTCTCAGTTTCTCTCTAATCATTTTCTATAAAAATAAATAAATAAATAAAGCGATAATACGAGGTGAAGAAAAGAAACAAGCAGATTGATACAAATTTAAACGAAAAACAAACTGTAGTCAGTTAGGGGAGATACCAATGAAAATCAAGCAACACACACACAAACTGAGTAGCTTAGCTGTATTGTCATAGTGTGGGATTACTGATATGTTTGTATAAAACGACGATTGTTTTGTACTTTATTGAATGCTTAATTCCAATTACGATACAATATATTTACATGTGTGTATGGTCTTTTTATCATCATCGTTTCCTGGTACATTCGTGACTACTAAAGTATGTATTGGGCAGGTCTGAGTGCTAGTAGTTCATATATTACACTAAATGCTGCAATTACTTTGATTTATCATAACTACTACTCAGTGATGTGAATTCATGTTTCGAGATAAAATTGAACTAACTAATATCATTAGGTCTGTAGTTAACACAATTTTAGACCACTAACTTTGAAATCAATTTGTTTGATATGTAATGCACTTTGACGATTTCACTTGAAAGAATAGGTTTTCCTCGATCTGTGCTTAAAAACCACCAAAATTTGTATTCCGATGACAATCAGTCACTAAGACATGTCAAATTACGTTGTTTATGCATTTTACGTCTTGTAATTTATGTATGATACAATCCATTTTTATAAAAATTCATAGTATACACTATTTCAAATGATCAACGAACACTAGTTTTGAACATAATTATGTCTTTGACTGGCTTACTTCAGTCAACAAACTAACCTTTTAAGTTTAGGATTTTTAGTTATTGCTGATTAGGTTCACTGGATATTCTTAATTCTTTGAGGATTCCATAACTACTCAGCGATTTGAGCTGAAAATATTCAGCACGGCAGCTAACACACTTTATCACAGAGGTAGTCTCGTCAATTGAATACGCGTATAACCGGGTAATATGTACTAAAGAGTTTTAATTCTGATACAACTCTGTTTTAAGTCTCAATTTACATGCGTAAAGAGCTAATAAAGTATTATCCAATCGTCTCAATTAACGCATATGAAATGGGGTCGTTAGACACTGCACTACAACCCTTGAAAGAAACAAAGGGAACAAACTATTCACGATCATACCTACTAGAAAAGATATCACATTAAACAATGTTGATATGTCAATCAGCTAGTCACTTTCAATGTTAAAAATAACTGATTTATTAGTCATAAACTAGTCTTTTTGGACTAGTAAATTTCTAACTGAGAATAATATTCCCCTTTGCAACATAGATAATCTACGAAGATTGTTCAACTTGTAAGTAGCATCACTCTTCCCTCTACACCGATAACAAGAGTCATCATATGATCGTTACTGAGCAGAACTCCGAGAATGTCCCTCAAAGTTTGATAATGCTGGTGATACACAACAGGTATCCCCGATGGTATTACATAATGGTCTCATATTATTGAGCGAACCTACTGGAATTAAATACTTGAACCATTGGATAACCAAACCAGTGGTCTGAAGATAACTTATTCGGTATCAAGATCTGAAGGGTCGTGGAAGCACATTACTGAAGGGTTCTTTTTGGTGTCCCTGAATTCTCTGAGCTGGATACCTTAATCATAAAGCCCTCATTGCCTTTTTAGACAACATTATCAGCACAAATTTGAAACAGGTCAGAGGGGAAGATGATCAAAATCAGAGAAACAGAAGTGGCTATTAGTCATAAGTGGAGAAATTTGAACAGATCACTTCTATTTTAAGTTCGCGCTGATGATGTTGTCTAAAATGACAATGAAAACTTCACAACTAAACTACCAAGCTCAAAAAATGTAACTTTAACAAAATTACCATTTTGAGCTACAGATCTTCTCTACTATTTCAAAGATGATAAATTTTGTACAAACACAAAATAATTGTTCAGTTGTACTTGGTTTTCTAACTATGATTAGTAGTACATAACAGGTACTGTAAATATTTCATACCAAAAATAAAAAAGTTCCGAATTACATTTGTACAACTAACAAATTACTTGAAAAATAAATCATCAGATAATAATTTTTAATTGAGATCATGAACCGATTGATGTTAGACCACTATTGAAAACCTGGAAGCACTAGACGACCGTTTCGTCCTATTGTATGACTCTTCAGCAGTGCGCATCCACGATCTCGCTCGCGGGATCATCAATCGGTTCATGATCTCAATAAAAAACTTAACAATCACCACAACCCCTAAACTGATAATATTTTTCAATAAATTTACCTGATCTGAACTAAACTCATTTACATAATTTGAATCTCTGATTACAAAATTTAATTCTTGTTCAGTTAAATGTAAAATATTTTCATCTGATTCACTCATTAATTGTGATTCCCGTAATAAATTAAATGACCATTTTAATAATATAGATATCTCATCAATTCCATCATAATGTGAATGATAAACATCAGGATAACGTAGAATTAAATCACATAGTACAGCTGTATTTTCAAAAGTTAATGCGAAAGCTGAAAAGAATTTTTTTTAGAAAAGAAAAAGGAAACGGATAAACAATAACTAATTACAACATAATTTTAATAAATAAGAAAGTTCGACGGAAAGGGAATTTGTTGTGTCCGAAGGAGACTAAATTATGAGTAACGTCTGGGAACTACTTATGGACTGTTATTACAATATATGTAAACTTATTGTATAACTGTTAAGTAACTGGATTATATATATATTTATATTTCTCTTATTATAAGCTTTCATTTGACTCACTGGCCACTATTATACGATTTACTATTCTTAAGTTATTCCCAATCTATTAGTTACGGTCTTTCACACTCACAACCACTCTTGGCTTGACCTTGTATAATAATTATTTTTCATTTTGTGGTGTGATGGGATCGGATCTGCTTGTATATAAACTACGTAATCTGAAATATACGATTTATATAGTGGAGGCTGGGATTATGTCCTGGACTCAACGGGTAGGGTTAGGCTAGAAGGACTGATAAGTGTTCAGAGTTGACGCAAGGCTGTTGTGCTAGTTGATGTGTCATTGCTTTAGCACAGGAACAAGGTCATATAAGTCGGTATTCTAATTGGAGATTTTATTGCATGATATTTGGCGGGCTTCAGGACGTAACAGAATATATATATATATAAATATATATATATATATATATAAAACCTGGAAAATGATGGCTTGGTGGTTACGGCGTTCGAATTTTAGCCGTTAAGTCCTAGCTTCGAACCCTGTGTCATTTCCTTCGATCCGGACAACCAGGCAGTATCGTTAGCCTTCAAAATTACAGTGTGGCTCATACTTGTGCACCTGATGAAGAGATGTGTATTTCGCATACCAAGTTGATAGAGATTTGTAGTAAGTGAAGAATTTTCGAATTATTGAGTTTTCTTAGAGAAATTGTTCAGTGCTGGAAAATTGATTGTTGTTCTGAACAACATTATATAAGTGAGCTTTTTAGTTATTTTCCGAGTGTTAAAGCAGCCTGTTCTGATGACTTTGGTTGTGAATAGTCACCGCCAACGTATCTTTGTCTAAGGATCATTTATGTAGATAATAGCGAATCGATAATGTAAAGGTCAACGTCTTATGAAAGAACTAATGACGTTAAAATTCAAATTTCTTCAGTATAATGGGGGTTGTGAAGATTGTTAAATTTTTTAGTTGAGCACCATGGGTTGGTCTTAGTCTGACCGAAGTCAGAAATGTAAGTCACTGGATGCCAACTCGCTGATTTGAAGGTTAACAGCTCGTTTCAAGATCTGAAAATCTTACGTTCAATCTGCAGCAGAGTTGTAGATGACAATGCTGAGGAATCTCGTCAATGGCTGCTTAACTAAAGTCACTTTGTAGTGTAAAACAATGAAGGTCTAGTTGTTAGACAAAAATTGCCAGTAACTATTATTATTATTATTATTATTATTATTATTATTATTATTATTATTATTATTATATACTTACTTTGTCCTATTGTATCATTTTTAGTCTCTGAATTAATATCAGTATTTATTAGTATTTTGCGTGATTCCTGGAGAATCTAATAAAGTAATAGTAACAACCATGACGAGAACAAAAGGAAATTATTAACTTGAAGCAAAAATCAATATTAATGAGTGTATTTATCATCCCAACTAAAATCATATTAAGCGAAACTGTAGTGAAATTATAGTTTTTTAGACCAAAATTTTCAAAGTAAAGAGATTGTGCTTAGTTGACTTGTATGTGTATTAACGAACGCTCGTTTAATCTTGTTTAGACAGATTATTGTTACTACCCTTGTCTCCTCTAACTGAAGTAGGAAGAAGTTAGGGTCTCAACTTGTTGCCCTAATGGTTGGTACCATTCTATACAGTCTAGTGAGTGAGTGGGCATAATAACAGAGTTTCAGTTTAAATTATAAAATATTAACACTCGGTGGAATACACAGTAAATTCAAGTGAGATGGAAATATCCAAACATACTACTGAACATCATGAAAACAAACGACAATTTGAATAAACCCGAGAAACTTGTATTTTTATTATTAGTAACAGATCCGAATTATAGTATTGTGTTTACTAGGATATGATTTGAGAGTTGACAAGAATTAATTCAACAAATAACTAAACAAACTCTGATTTCTTTTTATTGATCGACTGCTCCCTGGTTAAATCAGGCCAAGGATTGTCTACTGTACAATTAATATGAAGCGAACAAGCTAACAGGATAAAATGGGCAATATATCCATACCTATGACTATATACACAATAGAGACTTAACTTTTATCGTTCAATTCAAGTCAGTAACCAAGTACGGATTGGTGTACTTGTCTTTGTGAGTAACAATAATTATCTAATAAATGATGACTAGAAATGTAACCTGATTATCTAGACCATACAAAGAGGAGTGGGGTTCATACCTGTGATCTCAATTAGTCAGTCAGCTATAACGTAGGACCAGGCACATATATGCATCGATACAAGTTGCCATATCGCATTATCACAACAAGATGAACACCCAATTCATGGAAGCAATTAACTCAATGGTGGTAACATATAAAAGAAAGATTGCATGTAAAGATATAGTACAGGAAGAAAGATTTAGTACGTAGAAAGATATGAGGCGATTTTAATCTCTTAGTTTAAGGGAAGGCAGAGAGTGTATACACCTACACCATCGTGATGGATTCTGAGCCATGTCACCCACAGTTCCCAACCATTGGTTACGATAGTCACGCGGACCCCAACAAAGTAGTCTGCATCTACCAACATCGCTCAGACTACAAGTTAGTGACTTCAAGCACTGATGCCACGTTTTGGTTTGGCCACCCCTTTCTTCCAACTATCCCCAACACCGGTTAGCAATGCACGTTGTGGTAATTGATGTTCAGGCATACGCGACACGTGGCCCAACCATCTCAGTCGATGAAGAATCACAACCTCATCAACTGATTTACCATCATTCCCTAATACCCTGTGTCTAACCTCACTATTACTTACCCGGTGATCCCAGCAGATGCCAGTAATATTTCTAAGGCATCTGTGGTCAAATACTAGTAGCTTACGAGTATCTTCGACTCTAATACCCTGTGATCTCAATAGTTGAAAGTAATCTACCATTCCTATTAGTCTTGTATATAATATACACACATGCGTGTAGGTCGAACATTTAAGAAAATATTATAATGGCCAGTTAAAACTAAGCAGCAATTTGTGAATTTTTAAATTAAATTCAGCTTTCTTAACGGACCAATATCCGTTAGAGTATTATTGAAGACCAAAAAACACTTAACAGTAGTTTTGTCCAAATTTGGGACTCCTCTTCAGCAAATAAAGGCCAGTGAATCATAGGATTGAAGTTAAACTCTTCAAGTTTAGAGGGTAGCAATACTTTACAGATGTCCTTCCCTCCTTCAAATCAACCATGACGTAAATCCCAAATAATATAATGCGACAGTAACCTTCCAAAAATAAAAAACAAGGAGGGAAAAATATTTGAAAAACACAATACTTACATTAATAATGTTTTGAAAAATTTTCAGAGCAACATCATCTTGTCGTCCTGATGGTACTTCAGCCAGTAATCGAGTCAATTCCGTCGCATGAATTTCTCTTTTCGTACGAAAAGAAGCTTGATTATCTTTCATTTGTTATGTGATTAAGTAAAATGGCTTGTAATGAAGAGGAGTATACTTATAGAGAGATGAAGTACAACAGTGCGATAGCAACATAGAATCAGAAATAAATGATATTCAACTGGATTAATAAAGTAGTGGTTAGTATGTGTGGACATGATAGTCGAATTGATCGTGTTATTGATAAAACAACATCCTACTCGACCATAAGAATATAGCTTGTCAAATATTTTACTGTGCTATTCAAAAACTAGGGTTGTACTTGTCAGGCTGTAAAGTCTAGACCTTTTCCTAGCTCTCTGAATATGTGGAAATACCGACGAAATTTTGAGAATTTCACTGTTTTTAAATAAAAATCGAGATGTGAAAGTGTCAGGTCCAGTTTTGTGTAGAGAGTTGTGTTGGTATACTCTTTCACACATTGACAGCCTAGTATGAAACAGCTCTTCATTGATACCTAGTTCTTCAGCCGGAGTTACCCCAAGATGAAAGATGTCTTCAACTCGAACAAATACCTATGCCGAGCACTTTACTGAAAAATAGATGAATACCAACCGATGAACAGGTTAGAAATGGATTTCCCAGTTTTAGTTGAAAAGCTATGATATGTTGAGTAAAAGAAATAGATTCTGAAACAAATGCTTACTGGTAACAGTGAATGAAGGTAGAGCTATATAATAATTGTTTCTATTGGACAGTATGAACTAGTGTATACTGAATTAGCAGCCAAAATGCAGTATACTCATTTTATTTATTTATTTGAACACATAAATATTGGTACAAGGAGGCACCAGATACATATGCGCCACACAAAACAATGAGAATGGGTAGAGATAAAGAATGTAAGGTGTGTGTAAAAAAAAATAATGACCACAAATTAGTGTATGGTAGTGAAATAATATTAGGGGAGGCAGAAAGGTACAACCAGAAATAATTCTTTCAGTTAAGGAAGTTACAACCACTTTTTATGAAGAAGGTAAAAGAAGGTTACAGGAGGATCGCCACTGGCTTCTATTCTGAGCCATATCTGATAACGTCTCTAACCACTGTGTTGCACCATCTCTAGAACTCCAGCCAGGGAGTCAAGAAGGACCATCAGAAGCCAGCCTTTTCAGTTTTCTTTCATACCACGACACCATGTCACAAACTGACCACCTCTCCACTTTTTCCAACCAGTCGCAGCGTCGGCAAATAATGCACAACGAGGAATTCTCTGGGGCGAAATTCGTAGAACATGTCCATGTTATAACTTGTCGTTTGGATGCTTATCGTCTTGGATCTTTTAATGCTACTTTTGTAACCGGTCGTCGCCGATTGTTATGTCGGAAACGCTTATCACTTATACTCGGAACGATGGACCTCTGCAATTCCCACGACGCGAAAGTAAGAACATAAAGACTGGTATAAGTGATGATTTATTAACCCCAAAACACGACGACGACGACTGTAGTAGAAAATACACTCATTTATATATTGATTGTACACCCATTTTGATTATTAATTAGGATGAAATCACATATATGAAAAATACTTAGAGTTATAACAAATCACAGACCGAGCATAGTTCATGTCAATGGAATACAAGAATATCGCATATTATACAGAATAAAATATCATACGAGAAAAGAAAACAAATACTACATTGAGTAATCATTACATTGAGTCAAAACGGAAGTAATCTTGAACTAAACTCATGAGTAAATCAATCGAAAATTAACTCTTCTTTCAATCATATCAGTCCAAGCCACCGAAGTCGATGTTTCAAGATCGCGACACCAATTGGATTATCGTCTCTGTGCCCGAACACACGATGCCGAACCTCTGCATTACTAACATGGTGTTGCAACTGGATGTCAGCAATCCTTCAGAGACAACGATGATCAAACACAGAGTCGTCTAACATCCTCAACTCGGAGGGGCCAGGTTTCACAAGAATAGAGAACTGCTCTCACCGACGCGTTATAGATCCGACCTTTTACAGCCAGACTAACATCCGAAGGCGCCAAAGGTAGCCCAGATTGGCATAAGCCGCTCTGGCTTTCACTATTCGTGCATTGATCTCATCACTCACACCCCCACCAGCACTTATGCAGCTACCCAGATACACGAACTTCTCGACTACTTCTATCTGCTCACCATCCAGGGTGAGTACAGGATTGGAATCCTGCCAGTCTTGTAGAAGTACTTTGCACTTCGAATGTGCAAAGCACATACCATACCTACGGACACTGATTGCCAACTGATTAGGTGCGGATTGCACGGTTTGGGTATTATCGGACAGTAAGACAATATCATCCGCATACTCAAGGTCGAGAAGTCTTTCTCCAGGCAACAGATCCACACCGCTATTACTTACATCCACCAGAGCTGTTTCCAGAATGTCATCGATGGCAACGTTGAAGAGGAATGGTGAGATTGAGCATCCCTGTCTAACCCCACTGCTTGAGTGGAACAATGAAGAGAGGTTGTATGCCCTTACTCTGCCTGAGGTGTTTGTATATAGGGCTTTTAGGATGTTTGAGGGACAGTGGACAGTAAATTTCAACTATGTTTAGCATGACAAAAACACCACCGCGGAACTGGAAGTTGGTTGAAGCTAGGAGTGTATACAACTGCATAACAACTTAGTATTCTGAAGGTTAGGCGCTTGCATCGGGGCCTCAAGGTCATGAATGCCTTTATATATACGTATATTGTCCTCAATTTTTAGGCCAAATAGGTTTGTTCGCGCACCTGTGAGCACGTCAAATGATATCATAAAGTGTTGCCATCGATGACCGAAAATAAAATGAAAAAAATAACAGCTAAACAGTTGTGGATAATATTTAATGTTCTAAATGTTCACTAAGTTTATCATAGCTAGTATTTTCAGCCGTTTTTTCTGTTTAATTAGTGAGTGAATGTTGTGTGTTGAAGCTTAATTTGCATTACGGAACTTTTGATGAACAATGAAGAAGTCGCAAACGACCTTAGCTATTAAACGTGATAACTTTATGCATAGTTAAAATAATAGTCAACGGATTATAGAATTACATTTATAAGGATACAATGTTCATTGCGGAAAGCCCCAAATACAAAGACAGTGAAATTCGCCAAAAAGATGAGAACAGTATTGAAATAATTAAAATTCATCTATCAATAAAAAACAAATTATCATACTGAAGTAACAAAAGATTTTCAAAAATTAGACCAATAAAATACTGTCACAATAAACCATCATGTTTCCTAACATACATGTGTTTAGCTAACTATAGTCTAGAAGATGGACAGGTTTATAATTCGAAAAACAGGCATGTAACTTACTTACCGAACATTTTGTGTATGACAGACAAATTAACTGCCATGTAAAGGTTTATAAACTAAACATTGAACTACAGCAGACATCCAGATTAGATTTCGATCAATACTTGTTTATGGATTGTCTGACTAAATAAGAGTAAGGATTTGGAAGGACAGGGGTATATACCGTCTCTTCGTGGCTTCTGAAGACGCTTCCATGCTATAGTTTAAATGAAATGATAGATTCTAGTGAAAGCATTATAACATCCTTCTGAAACCTACGAACTCAGATGTGTCAATCATAGAAATTAACGACAGTGGCTGTATGTTGTGACTCCATATACAACCATTTACTTCGAACAAGCAATAACTGGAAACATGAAAATTGACAGTTTGACCTGGAGACTTTTATCATCAACACAACAATGGACAATGATATTCAACAAAAAGCTGATGCCAATTGTGAAGTGAGTGCCTAGAATTTTGTTATGAGCTCACATTCGCCTTGACAGATGAGAGAAAATGTCAACTAGACCTCCCAGAAATTGTCTTTAAAATGGAGATATTTTCAGAAAACACGTTTAATGATAGTGCTACTAAGGAGTGCAACTAGCTTATTCCAATCAAACAAGTGACATTACTTTATTTCTTATGTCCACTTAAAGCGCAAACCAATTATTTCGATGAAATAACTCAATCCCCAACTGCAAAACCAGAGGAAGCACACTTTACATTAGCTAATACAAAATAACAACACCCTATAAATACGAATAGTGCGACTTTTCTGAAAAGAACTTAAGTAAAATTATATATTTATGATGGCGAGTACATACTCATGATCGAAAACTGCTAATCAAACAAAACATTCACACAGAGCACTAAAACCAAGAGGGACGTTTCTATTTAAAAATTAGCTCTTCTCAGCATGTTATAACTACTGAAGTACCTGATACGAACTCACATTATCAGCTTTTATTAGTACCTTTAGGTTAAAAGTGAATTTCTAATGTAGCACTACATTAGTTTGCACGTGCAGGCAACGCACATGCTACCGGGTTATATCCAGTATACTGAAAATTGGATCCCGGGTAGCTACATAGTCTCGAATTGTAACATTTGAGCTAACGCAGATCACACTTTCTAATGCTTAGAACTCAAGTTCTAGCTTAGAACTTAATATTAATTTTTAATTTGTACAGTAATATTAATGGACTTAAAGAATACAAAGCAGTTGATAACTAAGTAATTCTTGAACATCGAATGAAATGTGAAGCACTTCAAACGAGGCTAAAGACAATGCTGTTTTGCTGTATTTACCTTATTTATCGTAGTGGCAACGCTTTAGGGGTATCGTCCACCGAAGGGGGTTGCGAGTAATTGAAGGTCAAACCGTTGCAAAATGATTGGTTGATCAGACAATTTGAAAAACTGCCAGATTTCGTTTAGTTATGCTATTGAATGAACGGTACAGTCTTCAGTAGTAAGCAAAGGCGATTAGTCAACCTACATTAATCCTTGCAATTTGTAGTGCCGTGAAGATTCATTTGTACTTTAAATGCATCAAAAAGAGGTGCCGATATTACGTGTTCTGGTATAGAACACCAGTAATTTAATTCTCGATATATGAAACGAAACTCCAGAAATGAACGATTCGGTCCTGGTAGTGAGTTTTCTTAAAATGTCCTCTCAAGTAATCAGCCCTTGAGGGAAGGAAAAGACAGAACATATTAACACATAAATCATTGTTCAGTATACGCTAAGCCAGTACTAAATCAACTCGAAACCTGCGGTAAGACAACAGAAGAAGGTTGATGAGTTTCAGTCTATCTCCATAAAGTGTATCCACGGGATCTTTTACCACTTTGGTCCTTCGACGTTGAATTCGTTCTAGCATTATCTACTTCATACTTGAAACAGGGACTTACTATTGAATCTCACATTATAAATGCGGCCCCACAAAAGTCGGACAGTTTTTCGTCCAGGTGATGAAATGACTAACGGATAATTCATCAGACCCTGAAGCCTTTGGTAGGAGCATCCTGACGGTGAGTCATAGTTCTAATGTTGCTGCTTATTATGATTCCTGTCTTTTTACTCCATCACTAGGTAACTTAATCTCGATAATTGTGCAGTATTATGATAGATTGTTGCTATTTATTTGCATGAATATACTTTGATAACTGCTGACACATCTATTCAGCTGGTGAATTAAGTTCATCCTATAATATTATTCTATCTGAGACTATGTCAACATCATCAAAATCACCCGAAATTGATACGACGGACTACAGTACAAAGTCCTGAATAGAGAACACTTGACAGACGCATTCCAAGTGAGCACTAGAGTCAGATAAGACTGCCTACTCTCCCCTTCTCTTTCTCCTGGTGATCGACTGGGTTATATAGACCTCGACATCTGAGGTGGAGCACGGATTACAATGGACGTCTCGGAGTCGATGAGATGATTTGGACTTCGCAGATAACCCGGCCTTTCTGTCCCATACACACGAACAAATGTAGATAAAGACCACGAGTGTGGCAGCAGCCTCCGCATTAGAATGCCTCAGTATACACAAAGGAAAAGCAAGACCTTCAAATACAACACAGAGAACACTGACCTGTTGACACTTGATGGATAAACTCTGGAAGAGGTAAGAACTTTCACGTACCTGGGAAGCATTATCGATGAACAGGAAGAATCTGATGGTGATATAAAAGCTGTAGTAAGCAAAACAAGTACAGCATTTCCACAGTTGAACAACATATGGAACTCAAAATAACTATCTGAAAGCCAACATCAAACTGGAAATCTTTGACACGAACATGTAGACAGTTTTACTGTGCAAAGCCGAAACTTTGAGGACTACTACAACCATCGTGAAAAAGTGCAAGTGTTTATAGATAACTATCCACACAATATACTCAATACCCGTTGACCAGATATCATCAACAACAACCTACTGTGGGAGAGAACAAACCAGCTTCCGTTTTATGAGGAAATTAGGAAAAAATGCTGTATGTGGGTAAGACACAACATTGTGGAAGTCATCATACCGCGCCTTGAGGCGAGCGCTAATTTGGAATCCTGAAGGGAAACGGAATATATGAAGACCAAACAACACATTCAGCCGGAAATTCGAGGCAGACATGAAAAGGATGAATAATAACCGGGAAGAACTGGAAAGGATTGTCCAGAACAGAGTTGAGTGGAGAATGTTGGAGGATGATCTATGCTACTCCACGTAGGGTAACAGACGTACTTTAGCAAGTAATTGAGATGCTGTGCGTGTATCTACAAATATTGATATAAGCGGAGATGAATGACACAGACGGCGTTGCTACAACCGATTAGCCATTTACACAAAGGGAAAAAGGAAAAGGATTGAGGATTGTACTTTGGAAAACGCCGCCTTTAAAAACATTCAACGTCGATGGAGGACCATTTACCCATATCGGTTTTATGAATGGCCTTAAGCAGTAGTTTTTGGGCAATTTTATTATTGTTATACCTCGATATGATTATTGGAGCTATTCGAATCACTGTGCGTGCCAAGGACTCTCGAAATAGTACAGTTTAAGGCAGATAAAACCAGATCAGCACCAATGAATCTATCATATTTGGGAATTCGTAGTACAAAGGAATCACCAGTTAGTACGAATAACACACTCGGTTGGTGTTAGGTACATGAATAACAAACCTGTTGCGCAAGTGTACATTTTCCATAATGTGACTTCGTAACCTACCAGACTTTACGTGGAAGTCTCGTAGTTACCTATACAAACTCATCCTCTCGTGACACCCAGTAACTAATACTGAAGACTTCTGAAGGATATATTGAGTCTAAGAACAGAATAATATATTTGATAAAAAAGCAGCACCTGAATGGGCTAGCTATTCCGTCTTCTTCAAGTGTTCCTTAGTTCACCATCTGTGTTCTTAACAACTTCAACCATCATTGATTTTATTTCCTGCAGTAGTTTAAGATTCACGTTGGTTCATTTACATCTATTCTGCAATGCGCTTCAGAACTTGGCAGGAGATATGTATAAACTGAGTAAATGCAGGTTGATTGGGGAAACCCTGTTCTCAGTGGATCTGTGGTGGCATTGAACAATAACCGCACAATCCACAAAGCTGAACACGAGACTACTCAGAAAATAGATATTCAATATTTAACGCGGATAAATACCTAACAATGGAGAAGGCGCGAACGATGAATTGAATGGATTGGAGTTGATCGGATGGCATGGCTCGGCCATGCAGGCGTGGTCCATCTGAATGTTACGTCATATCTTCTATTCATATTAAATATATTGTTCCTTCTCTAACCTAACCTTGTTCTACATCATGTATTGGTAATTGATACGATACAGTGAGTTGGTGTAGTCGATGGTGTGACTTCCACGTAAGATCTTATAGATTAGGCAGTTATATCATGACAAATCTACAAATTTAGGATTAGGTCTATTACTAGAGCAGTACTAATATCGTAGTAGATCGTAGTTCAACATTGGTGAGCCCAACTAAAGAAACGCAACCTATTATTATTAAGCCTTATTTCCACTTCAACTTTCTCGATCGATTTTATATTTATGTTAACCCTGTATTCCAATAGTCCTCTGATTAATGCTCACATGCATTATCGTGATGTTATATTGATTAGTCCTCATGACAAACTAGCTCAATCGATAATAAAAACTGGTCGTCTATATTAACTAATTAGCTTTGATGATTTGTTAACAAGCTGTAATAGCATTTACATGCTTCAGCGACATAGTCTTGTTTAAACATCAAGCTCTAGCAAATATGACCTGTAAATAGCGTAAATATACATTGACTAACAATGCGATCA